CCNCCTCACAGCCACGAAAGCAAGTTTTTCGGGCAAAAATCTCACAATGATATTAGAAATTCGGGCAATCTCAGATATTCCGCCCCTCTCGGACATAAACCTGGCTCCGCCACTGATGTGAGGTGCTCTCTCAATTCAAAATAAATTTTTCTCCTACACCAGTTGGCCACACCCCTGACACCCTAGTCCCACACTCCAGGGCGTGAAAACACCCCAGGTTGGGAGCCGGGGATATATATATATAGGTGATAATGGCTCGTCATTGTGAAGATGATTTTCCACGACTACAGACTACACCCTTTTTTTCATATTTAAATATTGAAACTGAAGTCGTTGTTTCAAGGCAGGGTTTGTTGTCTTGTATTTCGCAATTACAAGACCAATTTTCACAATAGAATTGCCATTATGTCAGGCACCGTATGTTAGTTAGAGTATGACTTGAATGTGTATTTGCATTGACTTTTGTATTGTTTGCAAACGATACATTTTTACCAATCTCTTAATCATCTTCACAATGTTAAGCTATTATGAACTGCTTAATACCTTGACCTCAAAAGCCACCTTTCTTGCACTACGGAAATTTGTAAGCGCAACGACGTGATTGCATTGTTCGTTAGCGAATACAGCCAATCAGATAACTTGATGGAAAAATTGTAAACATTGTGGCTGCGCGTGTAATCGGGCGCTATGATTGGCTGTATTCGGTAGTGTACAATCCAATAAAATCGCTGCATTTATTTACCGGTTTCCGTATTAGACGCAGTTCGTAATAGTTTGACGTTGTGTCGCAAGATGTCTCGTTTAGGGGACTGATTGACGAGCTATAAAAAGAACTTGCTTCTGGGCAGTGTGTTTTCTAAATACAAATGGTCAAAGAGAGTTTTTGAAATGCTTAAGGTAGATAGTTCCAAACACGGCACCAATTTTCAGCGCACATAACACACTGTGTTTCTATGGAGATACTTTTTTAAATTTATGATTATTGTTATTTATTTGTCCTTTGTATAATGCCACTAAAAACAAAGGTATGAGTTGTGTGCATAACTGCTGACGGGTCAGACATGATAAAGAAAAGTCTACCTCATAACAAAGTAAACTATTCCTTTTTATGATTGGACTCGTCCATGGATGTGCATAATACTGTTTGACGTACAATTTTTTTTTCAATTTTATCTTTGCACCTTATTCTGATAATAAAAGATTTTTGAAAATCAGTGATCTTTTGATTGGTCTGTCATAAATTAAATGAGTTTATGTGTACTACAGATGAATTTATCACAATCTGTTATCATTGAGATACGGCTTGATAACTTTCAAAATGGCGACCTCCTTACATTATGTTTTGCTTTTGATAGTTTCCGCTGGCCTTCTTGACGCTGCAGTTCTTGGCGACTTAGTGACGTCACTACCGGGTTTAAGTTTTGAGCCGGCTTGGAGACATTATTCTGGATATCTGAATGCTTCTGGTACGAAACGCCTGCACTACTGGTTTTTCGAATCTGCGGATAGCCCGAGCACGGATCCTGTACTACTGTGGATGAATGGCGGACCAGGCTGTAGTTCATTGGTCGGGTTGTTCACGGAAAATGGACCGTTTCGAGTAATGTTGAACGGTACCGTTGTATATCACGAAGGTAGTTGGAACGAAATCGCAAATGTTTTATACCTGGAGGCACCTGCCGGAGTCGGAATGTCGTACTCGGATGATAAATATTATCGAACCAACGATGACGAAACTGCAAGTGACAATTATTTAGCTATCAAGGACTTTTTCTCCAAGTACCCAGAATATTCCAAAAATAGTTTTTATGTTACTGGTGAAAGTTACGGTGGAATCTACGTTCCGACTTTAAGTGCGTTAGTCGTAAGAGATCCTACAATAAACTTCAAAGGTATGGCGATCGGTAACGGAATGAGTAATTACGACAAGAATGAAAACGCTCACGTATATCTGGCTTACTACCACGGTTTGATCGGAGATTCTCTATGGCGCGATCTGATTAACTCTTGTTGTAACGGGACGCTGGAAGAACGGTGCATGTTCACGCTGCATCAAGACCGACCTCACTGTAAAGACGCATTCAACACTGCCCATCACATCGTTTTCGAGGGTCAGTTGAATTTTTACAATGTATACCACGAGTGCCGAAACTCCATGTTCTTAAGATTCGATGAAGAAATTGGGAAATACACCACGGGGGCTAGGTTGTGGATGAGTCCAAACAGTGAGCGACTTCAAAAAGAGGATAGATTCATTAGATCACTTCCGGTGGATAAGTTGAAAATATCCATGGGATGTTTGGACACAACCTCAGTGGATAGATACCTCAATACACCGGAAGTTCGGAAAGCTATCCATGTACCGGATTTTGTGCCAAGATGGGAGGTAGAAACTCCAGCGGTGATGCTTCATTATACGGAAGTGTACCCCGATCTTTCAGCACAGCATCGCGAAGTGCTGGAAGCAGGTAAACGCATCATGATGTACAACGGAGATGTGGACTTCGCTTGTGATTTTCTCGGTGAATCGTGGTTTGTCGAGGATTTGGGACTGGAGTTAGTCTCCGGGAGAAAGATGTGGTACTACACAGCCCAGGATGGGACGACCCAAGTGGCAGGCTTCATCACAAAATATAAAAATTACGATTTAGTGACCGTCAGGGGTGGCGGCCATCTTTCTCCTGCCGACAAACCCTTTGAAGTCCTGCAGATGATGAAAAATTTCTTGGTCGGGGAATAACTTGTGTTCATAACATTGAATCACAGACTAGGCCTACTTAACTCTGTCAAAATAAGGCTGGTTGCTCAAACTAGACTCCAGCATTTTCCCACTTTTTGGACATTTAGGCCCGAGGCCCAGTTACACGATCTATAAAAATGTTTTTTTGTAGGAGAACCCCCTAGGACCCTTCATAGGAGGCTTGCACCTCTGACGTATCCACATTTGTAATCTCAGGCCCCCATTCAGTCATCGTATCGTGAATACTGGTTATGACCCCTAGGAAGTATGACCTTCTTTAAGTTTGAATTAAATTAACTTCTTTAAGTTAACCTTTAAATAAATGTTTAATTATTCAACAATATAGAATACAGGTCCAAGGTCTACATATTTTGCTATCTGTACATTGTAGGGGGATATAATAAATTCATCCTATGGTGTAAATTGCAGAACCGCAGTGTAATAAATCCCAGAGGCTTGTATCCTACAAGCATTACCGTATTGTACTAATAAGCTAGGATTAGGATCTAGATACATTTTAATTTAAATTTTTGAAACACTATGTTCAATAAAACCCAGGAGTAGTATACTATATTAACTGATGATGACAATGTAAATTATAGAAACATTGTGTACAATAAAACTCGAGAGTAGTATACTATATTAACTGATGATGACAATGTAAACTGTAGAAACATTGTGTACAATAAAACTCGAGAGTAGTATACTATATAAACTGATAATGACAATGTAAATTATAGAAACATTGTGTACAATAAAACTCGAGAGTAGTATACTATATAAACTGATGATAACAATGTAAACTGTTGAAACATTGTGTACAATAAAACCCAGGAGTAGTATACTATATAAACTGATAATGACAATGTAAACTGTTGAAACATTGTGTACAATAAAACCCAGGAGTAGTATACTATATAAACTGATAATGATAATGTAATTTGTTGAAACGTTGTGTTCAGTAAATCATTTTGCCTTCAGTCTGAGACAGGGTAGAAATATTGGCAGATTAATAGCAAAGAGGAATTCACATCTATAGCATTTCAAAATAAATATATTAAGCCTTCAATCAAACAAAATAAAACTTCATAAAAGCAACAAAAAAAAAATGTGAAAAAAGCTGAAAGCTGCTATCTTTGCAGTACAGTATCTAAATCTTACTGACATACAATCTACACAGTTATTTAAGAAAATTGTCTGTTTGGAGACAATTAGACAAACACTCTATCAGAGGCTCACGTTCCCTTAGTAACAGTACAATGATTATCCACATCTAGCCGTTATTTGCACAATCCCATATTCTGGTCAAGACTATCTAGATGTAGATAATCATTGCACCATTGCTTTAGGAACATGGTCTAGGCTAGGCTGGAGCTAGCCTATCATAGAAATATAATATAAAGAAACTATAAGTATAACAAAGGGGAGGAAACTCTAAATAAAAATAAACACACTTCAAAAAGTCCAAATAATCAAAGCAAATTCCACAAAAATGAAATAAATAAAACTCACAATTAAAAAAAATCAAGATTGCGGGGGAAATAGTTACTTAATACCGTTAAAATTAAGAAAATTAAATGGGTATGGGGGTATCTTCAGTTCTTAGATTTTGGGAGGCAAGACATTTTAGGATTAATAATACAATTCATAGAATCAATATATATATATGTATATATTATCTTAAATGTTAAGGGAAATGAAAAATGAAATGAATGGAGTTTTTTTAAGTCCTACTTTTCTGCATTAAATGTTAAGGGGATACAGTCGTCAAAATAGTGACTTAACCAGCTGATAGAGCTCAATTTCAGCTCTGTATAATAGTCATCTTAATATTTATTGTATCAGTTGCTCAATTTGAGCTATCTTTATAGTCGTCTTAATATTTATTGTACCAGCTGGTAGAGCTCAATTTCAGCTATCTATATAGTTGTCTAATTTATAACTTTACCAGTTGATAGAGCTCAATTTCAGCTATCTTTATAGTTGTCTAATTTATAACTTTACCAGTTGATAGAGCTCAATTTCAGCTATCTTTATAGTTGTCTAATTTATAACTTTCAGGCTGATAGAGCTCAATTTCAGCTATCTTTATAGTTGTCTAATTTATAACTTTACCAGCTGATAGAGCTCAATTTCAGCTATCTGTAGTTGTCTTAATATTTACTTTACCAGCTGATAGGGCTCAATTCAAGCTATCTGTATAATAGTCCTCTTAATATTTAGTTTACCAGCTGATAGAGCCATGAGTAACCCTTTTTAGAATGGAAGTCTGACATCTAGTTGTGTTTAATTCAATAAATGAACATAAATAAACAACTTTATTGCTTTAATAAAAGGATCCATCTCCCCAATGTCGAGTTATTACAATCTGTGTCTAATACCTTGACTTTACTTGTCTCTTTTCTGTGTCATGTAAGTTTGTAAATGCAACGATTTGATTGGAGTGTACGATAGCCAATACGGCCAATCAGGGCTCTCGACAGAAGGTCTGTAATCCTTAGGCATAATGTTTAAAATTTATTTTGAGGGCTCTGATCGACTGTATTCACAAGTGTACAATCCAATCAAATTATTGTATAAATTACAAACTTCCATTTATACAAAAAAAGAACCTGATGAAGTCAAGGTATAAGAAGCAGTTCATAATAGCTTGACATTGTGAAGATGGAAAGGACGTAGCAGTCACTGTCAGATATGGCCTTGAATATAGTGTTCTAATTCAATATTCAAATCATGAAATATAATAACAAATATTCATAACAATAACAAGACAATTCTAATAACAAAACATCGTATTCTACATTTATACAACTTTTAATCCTTCAATTCCCAGCCAATATAGGGTCACAAGTTGCATATCATTGCCAATAAGAACAGCGGTCATATGTTTCAAACCCAACTCTCATGCAACTGAGTTGTGAGTTGTGTTAGGAACTCATGACCACTTTCATTATTCGCCACCATAAGCAACTGGTAATCACTGTCGTGTCAGGGCGCCTTAAGTCATTAAATCCTTTAATATATATCTTATTAATTCAAAAATAAGGGTCTTGGTATAAGTGGCATATAAGATGAAATATACTTTACAAAAGAAATATATCAGAAAATAGTATAATAGTTAGAAGTTAAACTTATTTCTTATTTCATTCTAAGGAATATTTTAGTTGAAATTCAAAGCATTCCATTAAACAGGGCCTTGTTTTTCAGAACATAATCCCTTTGACAACTGTCAAAATAGCTATCAGAGCCTGGCTGGGATAGAGGCAGATGTCTCGGACTACACAATGGGTTTGCATTTCTAAACTAACTATTCCAGAATAATTTCTCAATGCAAAATTAAGGTAAAAATTTAGCAAATGCCTAATAAACTGTTGAAATCTTTAACATAGTTGCATAGACATATTTCAAAATTTAGCAGAGGGAACTTGACAGAAATTCTGTACAACTAGTCTAAGAATACAAGGTGTTCAATGGCACTGATATTTATTAAGATATCAAACTATTTCTGAAACTAGAAACACAAAAATTAAATTAAACCATTAACAAGAAATTAACAAATATTCAACCACATAAATTAACATTAATTTTATATTTATTATTGCAAAAAATCAAATTGTGGATATACTCCAAACACCCCCATAGCTGCAAATAAGCTGTTTCAATCTTAATAATCTTAAAAAGGAAGTTGGAACAATTCATTTACAACTAAGGGTGATCCTTTTCTTGCCTTTTGAATTTTATTATTAGGATTTCTGAAACTTTCTGAAACTAGGCCTTAAAGTCTCGAAAATTCTTAAAATTGAATTCATCACTGATTCTTATTATTTTAAATATTATTTACAAATCAAACTTCAAACTTACAATAAAACTTCTAAACGATAAGCTTCTGAATGTCTTAATAACTAAATAATCATATAATCTTAAATCAGTACACCTCATTCTACACTTTAGAAAGCAGCAAATTCTTCATCTATGGCATTTCAAAACTCTATAATACAGGAGCATTGTAGAAAAATATTTCTTTTGGTTCCACAAAATTATATTCCATCTTCCAAATTCCACATATTTCAAATCTTAAATCCATATACTATCAAATCTTGTTATAAATATTTTTTCACTTTTTTTTTTCACATTTAAAACTCTATAATGATTTGAAATCAACCTCTTATTCCATATTTAGAAGTTTCCTCATTTAAACCATTTTTCAATAATTTCCACAATTTTTTTTTCGTTCCAAATATTCTTTTCTGTCTTTAACAAAATTTATATCTTCTTCTTTAATTTCACATTTTTTTTTGTGTTTTTCACATATTTTCACATTTTTTCACATTTTTTTCAACAAAATTAAAATCTGTATCAACACAAAAACCATTATAAATAGTCATTTATTTCAAATTGAGGGAATCGGAATATTGATGTAACTGTGAGGAAGTAGTTACGTACCGGTACCGAGGTTAGACTGAGAACATCGCGTGACCAGGTCACTGTACGTTCCTCCGTGTAAAAAACAAACTAAAACAACAGTCATATTATCACATCCTAGTCCACCCATCTGACAATCTGGAGCTAAACACCTCATCATCAATTCTTCACAGATCTAATTAGAAAATATAACTATTAATTAAAACACAGACCTAATTAGAAAAATATTTAAATACATTATTTTAATTGAATATAATTATGATAGAAAACAAAAAACACCCCAATTTAACAAGTGAGCCCCTCCACTCATAGTTTCAGTGTAATATAATATTGATATAAATATGCATGTGTGGCAGAGTTCATTAAAAAGTTGAGGGATGTTTAATTCCTAACATACTATTGTATATTCAAAACCACCCTGATACACTTAAAAACCTCCTTTCAATTCCATTAAGGCATCGGCCCATGTGTAATGAAAATTGAAAATAACTTACGACATCTGGTTCCATGCCTTCTGCTATTCTACATCTAATAAAATCTACCACCTCCTGATTGGCTAGAACATCCCATATACCGTCACACGCTAAAACCACAAACTCATATTCATCTGTTATATTCTTTTCTATTACATCTGGGTACGCTGAAATTCATAAATTCAAAATCATTAGCTGCAACCAATGTATCGTCAATATGTTGTTATGGATTTTGAGTTTAATTTCGTCATTTGGATCTTTAGTACTTGTTTTTCTTTTTTATTCCAAGCTATGAACATGTTCACGTGAGGTGTAGAGAGAATTAATAATGATGAGAAAGTAATGGAAGGGTAATATCTGAATATAAAATTTGCTGTTCTGTAATATTTGAATATAAAATTTGCTGTTCTGTAATATCTGAATATAAAATTTGCTGTTCTGTAATATCTGAATATAAAATTTGCTGTTCTGTAATATCTGAATATAAAACTTGCCGTTCTGTAATATCTGAATATAAAATTTGCTGTTCTGTAATATCTGAATATAAAATTTGCTGTTCTGTAATATCTGAATATAAAATTTGCTGTTCTGTAATATCTGAATATAAAACTTGCCGTTCTGTAATATCTGAATATAAAATTTGCTGTTCTGTAATATCTGAATATAAAATTTGCTGTTCTGTAATATCTGAATATAAAATTTGCCGTTCTGTAATATCTGAATATAAAATTTGCTGTTATCTGAATATAAAATTTGCTGTTCTGTAGTATCTGAATATAAAATTTGCTGTTATCTGAATATAAAATTTGCTGTTCTGTAGTATCTGAATATAAAATTTGCTGTTCTGTAATATCTGAATATCAAATTTGCTGTTATGTACGTCAAGGGCAATTAAACTCAATTCCTACCAAACGACATTTCTGTACGTCTTTAATACCGAGTCTAAAGACTTTCAGATCCTGTTCCATGTTTCAGATGGAAGATTCCCCAAACCTTAAAATTTTAGTCTAAAAACATTATTAGATATTTTCACTGGAGTATTTTTGTCCAAAGACATGGCAATTTTCTCTCACCTGTGACTATTTGTTCTTCTGATCTTTTCTGTGTATTTTTCTTAAAGACGAAATCTCCTAAAGCCCTTGATAAAGCTAAATTACCTACAAAGCAGATATTGAACAGTTCATTGCATTAGTAACACAACTTGGGTACAGATAACCTGGTATAGATCAACACTAACAGGTTTGGCAAGCTGGTAGACAAGATCTACTTGAACTTAAGATGTTATCCCTGTAAAGAATGAATCTTTTTCTGTTTCCTTTGCTTAGGGGCTGGCTTAAGTCATTGTACTATACCTACCATTGACTCTATTAAATTCTACCCAGCCTCCTGCTGCTATAATACGTCTAGACTCTGATTCATTACTTGGTTTATGATCGAATGATAACTGTTCAACCTGTCCTCCAACACTTGCTACAGCTCTAGAGTCACCTACGTTGGCCTACAAAACAGAAAATCATAACTAAAAGAGGTTAAGAAGAGGTTTGATAGAATTAGCTAGTTGACACAATCCACAAGAAGGTTTTTTTTAACCAAAAAGTGTCTCAGAGGAAGAAATGATTTGTTAACTTACACAGAATAATCTTTTATTTTTAAGTAAAACAACAACAGCAGTAGTTCCAGCGAGTTCATCTTTCATGGCATCATCTACAATATGACATAATCATCATGATTGTTAATATTAAATTATAATGAGCATGAACTTTGCCATGCAGTGTGCAAGGAGGAAAATTTTGCCAGGACAGCTGCATTAGACTCCCAGACTATCATTCCAGACATGTGCCTAACATGCTCAGTCACTTAATCCCCCTTCATTGGATTGAGCAAACCATGGATCCTATCAAATAAAGGATCGTATTTACTGTTAGAATTTTTGCTGAGTGGCATACATATTACCTACCTTTTAACATATCTTCATCTAAAGAAAGAAAACCTTGTTTCAGGGCTTCACTGATTTGGCTTTGTGCTAAAAATCAAATTCAATCAATCAAATTATTATGAAATATGGGTGGTCTCCATCAAAGAGATTTAAGTATTTCTTAAAATTTTAACATGTATTGTGTTGGAGAAAGATATTCAATGGAATTTCATATGCATATATTAAATCCATTTAAAATAGCCGACTCCTAAAAAAAATCTCCATCTGAGCAAAATAAGTACACTACCAGTACTGTAATCAAGTAATTTGCATATTTAATGAACCAGACTATCATAATTATTTCATCAATCAAACAGAAATAGACTATGACTACAGTAACAGCTGAGGAATTATTCAACATTTAGATTCAATCCAATCTAAATCCTGATCACCAGGGTTCAATTTTATGGATATCTCCTCGCATTTAGCGATTACCTCATTTACGATCCAATATTTCTTCTGATTAGCCAAAATTAAAATGAATCAAATGAAATTGTTTTAACCATATCTAGTCTCTATAACCTTTAGGAACTAACGTGGTCTTCCATGGAACATTTAGAATTGCTACAAAATTTTGATTTGCAAATCAAATTTTTATTTGATTAGTTAAAACTGAAATTTTTTGTGATGAATTGTTAATCAAAGGTATTCAAAATCAAAATAAACTGAAAAAAGAAATTGAACTTTAACCTTACCATAATATGACTGTGAGACAATTTTTTTATGTAGATTATTCCCAGCATACTGGGCAATTTTACCGCCTGAAAAATACAGCCAATCAAATCCATTGAAAAAGTGATATCATAAAACGCTGTTAGTTCAATTGTAAGTACTGTACCAGACATATGATTGGAATGTGAAAATCAATGCTATGTTTTAAAGCCTTTTAATAATCCCTTTAAGATAACAACGTTAAGGTTTTTGAGTGATCTGCCACTCAACTATTATTTAAATCAGTTAACTGCTTAAGAATAAGTACCAGTACAGTAGAGCTTTTTTAGCAACTCCTGTTTCTGATCCTAATGCAAATTTACCCTGAATGCATAAAATAAATATATTCTTACCTCCATGTCCATCAAAAACACCAAAGAAACAAGATTCCTTGTCCCCTGGTAAAGACAATAGGTGAATATGGGCATCTTCCATATCTTAGAAAGGCAGGTTAAGATTAAAAATATTATTTTGAAATCCTGACACACTTTTATCATCACTAGTGCATAAACAGTAATTGAAACAATTCAGAACTCAAGAATAGGAACAAGACAATATTCTGTTTAAAACGGTCTGAAACCCCACTGCTACAAAAGCTACTCTTATTATCAAAATTTGCTTTTCAACCAACTTCTTAAACTACCGGTATCTTAGTCATATCAGCTGGTAGAAGGATCCTACTAATGGTTGTTTCTTTCTCAAATTACCTAACCAAGAGCCTCAGATTTCAGATATTGTAAACATTGATAAAGGATACTGATTCTCCATCCCTGCATACATGATGAACCAACTTTCACAAATTTATTCTCACATTTAGACGTCTCTTTTGTAGTGACAGGTTCAGACAATGTTTGACCCATTCCTGAAAAAAAAATAAATTAAATTCTCATTCCATACATCATTCACTGAATTTATCAATACAAAACAAGGGATATAGGTACAAATATCATGAAATCAAAGCTCCACACATTCCTATTCTATTTTGTTTACCGTATACAGGGAAACAATATTTTACTCAGGAACTGGGAAACAGGCTTATTACAGCCTATGTGGTCCCTTTCTCTTTTTTCAACCCTAAACCTAGAATCCTAGACAACTGCAGCTTCTACTCCACCAAATTCCATTTGATTCCATCAAACCAAAATATCAGAAGACATGTAAGCTTGGTAGACTTTGAATACTTAATTTTCATTGAGAAATTTTGAAAAAATAATTAATATTCAAAGTCATTAGAAGTGATGAATTTCAGAAAATGACTACTTGGGCTCTGTGTTGGCAGTTTTGTTTGGTGCACAGGAGTATCGGTCCTTTTCCTAAAATCCTTGAAGTCTACTTAGTCTAGAGACTGAAGTTAATCAATGATATCTGTATCGTCAACTCATTATCTTAAGAGATTGGAGCAAGGTAAAGTAAAGGCCAAATCAGTTCAAGCAAGAGAACTGAGTCAACTTGCAGTGTTTGTGTTGCAATCTTGTAAAAATTTTGAGAAATGTTTTGAATTCGTCTGTTCCCATATGACAGACAATCAGACAGCCTGTAGAGCATCTGACAGCCCAAATCTCACAGTTCCAATCTATACCTTTACATGTATGTCGTGTTTTTGATCATTCAAATAAAACAATTTCAAAGAATTTTAATCACTTCTGCTTATTTACAAGTTCTTCATTCATTTATGCCTATCAACTACCAAAACAAAAACATTCATTCACGACACAAAATAGTGCTATTGTGACAATCTGAACAGTGTCGATTGTCTGATCTATTCTAGACTTTTGAATGCAGGCAGGTTGACTTTTACCCTTTTATTTCAAATGACCTAGAAATCAGTGCATGTATAATCCATTTGCAATTTCAAATATTGCGTAATAATATTTCCTTTGAACTTTGACCCTAAAATTAGACCGCCATTTTTTTTATTTTTGCTCCGGAATAATTTTTAAACATATTCACTTTTAAATATATTTGAATTACTCTAGAAGTTTTTCAAAAAATAAACGAAGTTGTGAATTAACTTCTTGGAATTAAGGTCAATAATTGATATATTGTCACAAAAATTCTGCTGAATAAATTTGTAGGATGTAAACATCCGGTTCAAACAAACCTTTTCTCCTCTACGGGGAGTTTTGCACACAAAAATGAATCGAGCACGAAGCTCGGCGATTGTTGCCCTTGCTTTTGGAGGTTTTGTTGGTATTTCGATGTTTTTTGTCTTTCTACAACCAAAACAGAACCCACATAAATGGAGTAAGTCAGTCACCACTGTCACTCATTCATTTATTCGTTCATTCAGTCTTTCATCCACATTCAGTCTTTCATTCATGTATGCAAGCAGCTATATTAGTATATTTGACTCTATGTAAATGATAAATGAACCTATATAGACATAGTGAAGAGCTTAACGTACATCTCCATCTCTCAACAATGCAGTGTCAGATTACGATCATGCGAGATGTAGCCTATAAATTTACTGTGCTTTGAATTGACACTATCATTGACAGTAGAACAAAAGGAATCAAAGAGAATACTGAAGCTGTTATTTAGATAAGAAGATAATACTCCATCCTGCAATCTTGGCCTATTTTAATCATATAACTCTTTTATATTGTCATATTACAGGAGAAATTCAAGAAGAGAATTGGAAAGGTGTAGAGAAAGGTTATCGAGAGAGTCATCAACCTGGAGGTATGTACATATACTCATTGTTAGAGCTCATCTTATGATGCTAACACATGTTTCAGGGCAAAACCCTCATCAGGCTACGTATTGTCAAAATGATCTTAGCTCTAAGATATCCTAGAAACAGTGTTAGAAGTTAACATCCTAGCGCTAAGATCGCTTTCGAGAATACTTGGCTAGGATAACTGATTTTCTAATGTCCTATAACTCCTATTGGAGTTAGGTTTATGTGGATAACAACATTGGTCTATTTTGGTTTCTGTTGGTGCTTTCCTGCCCAGTTCTAACACTTTCTACCCTTGAATACATAAGTAGACTATTTTGAATGTTCTTTTCTCTATATTACAGGTATGAAGGTTTGGACAAATCCATTTGATAAAAGGGGTGACAAGAAGTGAAAAGCTATGTGTAGCTTAAAGACATTTAAGATTAAGATACATTGTTGTACCCTGGCTAGAAAATGGACTGAACTGTGATTGAACGTGTGTATGTTATAATAAAAGGCCGATGAATGAAACTCAGAGACTTTAGACAGAATCATTGTGTTTCAGTTTAGTCTGTTGTCAATTTTTTATCATGGCTATAACTGCATTTTAATCTGACAACCTTTTACAGTAAGGTAAACTTTGCTGAACTCAGGAGTAGTAGGCCAATACCATAGAATTGTGTTGAGTTATTTTGTGAACTGATATTTAATTGATTGTGAGTGACATTATATTAAGAGGTGATGGTTTACACATTCGTCAATGGTTCTGGCATTTGTATTTAAATCATGATAGCAAATTCAAAAGTTTTTGTTTCGATAATGAGATTTTTATACAGCAGTCCAAGCAGTATCTTACAACAGAGAGTGTGGTTTCAAGCTCATTCAGGCACATTATTGTGCCTTTTTTGCAATCTTGAGTTCTGCCTGTTTGCTGTCTGTGCAGTATTCATTTGTTATATAATTATGTGACGATTTGTGAAATTATTATGTATGTATGATTAATTTGTAAAAATGTACATATAGATAGTGTATATTTTAATAAAAATTCAATTGAGATTTCTTAACTGTGTCTAATTTTCCAAAAATCCAACATCGAAGATTATTTAAAGGGAGTTAGCCTAAAGCCCGATCCTAGTAGCAAGGATGGTCTCAGTCATTATCCTTGTAAGATTGAGATTTCTTTCCATACACTCAAATACAAAACAATCAGATGTCTGATTTGTAATAACTGATGCCAATCATGGATAAATTAATCCATCTGTCAAGAAATTACCACTGAGACTAAGCGAAATTATTTGTGGTCTGAATTGAAATATCACCTTGACCTTAAATCCCCACCCGTAGACTTCATTAACAAGACATGATTTTCCTATTCCAATCTTTGTCAATAATACTGGTTGATCGAGAGTACGAGTTGCGTCCCCTCTATTTATACAGGAAGTGCTATATTTTGATGGAAACATTTTATTAATTTTGTACAAAATTTAATAACAAACAGCTTCTGAAGATGATCTGAAGGCAAAATTTGAGGCGATTTGTTGTTTTTGTCGACTTGCTCTCGAGTAAGTTACAGGTAAGTCGAAAATTGAGCTTAAAAATGTTCACTTGCAAAATTAAATGAACCATTGCCTTGGCATTTGGCATTTTCTCTCTTACAACTATAAGAAAGAAAGACCCGAGTAGTAGAGAAGCTTGTCACGGAGAGGTGTCATTTGACTCTTTGCCAGGATCTATTTTATGAAGCTAATCTGACACTGTTTTAATCAATCATTATGCATTGGCTAATCATCTGCCAGAGCCTACACTGACTACTGACAGATAGTGAGATAGAGGGTCAGAGAGAAGTTTCTCAGACTAAAGGTCTTAGCTTACTCACAGTCACACTGCATCCTGTCTCTGAAACTGAAAATTAAATTAAAATGTCTTGATATTATATTGTTTTAGATTTGAGAGCTTCAGCCTTGAGGTTAAAATCATACATACAAGATGGCTGCCGGGGAGAAGATAACGTTGACAGATGCATTACAGAATGTAGATGTGCTGGATGAATTGCCACTACCTGATCGACAGCCCTGTATCGAGGCCCTCAATAAATCAATCCACTACCAAGCTAATTTTGATACTAATTTTGAAGATCGTAATGCCTATGTTTTTGGTGTGGCTAAGTATATTGAACAAGCTACTATTCATGCTGATATGGTAAGAATGATTTCTATTAGAAAATCTAATCATTGTGGAAGGTACTAGTACGTCAGAAGAGCAATATCACTTATCACTTAATTATAACAATTCCATTTTTTAAAAGTCTTTGGACATTGTTACGGGCCATAATTGAGGAGATTTTCTGGACGAAAAGAAGAATTTATCCTGATTCATGTCCTGGAATAGAGCTCATTTCATGCTACTAGCACATGTTTTGGATACTTAACCGTCATCAGGATAGCTAGTTTCGGCAAATATAAGACTAAAGATTTATAAGCCAAAGTAAGCAGACTCATGGAACAGGTTTTTTTTTTTCAGAATAAGTTGCTAGAGGAAGGTAAGGAGTATGCTGTAATGTTATTTACCTGGAGATGTTGCTCCCGAGCTCTACCACAAGTTAAAAGTAACGATCAACCCAACAGAACTCAGATTTACCAGAAAATAGTAGAAGTTTTGGAACCACAAGTCAGTAAGCTTGTCAGATTCATGCACTTTCAGGTAGGTGGCTTTTTGTTACTGTATTTGTACACCCAGCACAATATTTGAGCGGAAATTGAATTAATTTTCTGACTGAAAGATTAAAGCTGAAATGATTGAATAAGATTTGAAGATTTGGCTGTATTTGCCAGTCATGTCAGATAGAAGAGCCAATATTCCTGGCTATGATATGGGTATTTAGGGTTGATCACATATCATAATATACTTGACCAATAACTCTCCAAATTAAGAACTCAATGAACATTCATTTTAGACGATTTATTTTCTTGACTGGCTAGTTTTAGATCAAATCAGTTTTTTTTTAGGCCCTGGAACACGAATAGAAATTCTCATGAATAAAATAATTATTTACTTTCAGAATCGAGCTATCAGTCGTTTTTCAGAAGAAGTTAAAAGACTATGTCATAAAGAAAAGAGGAATGATTTTGTATCAGAGGCGTATTTATTAACTCTAGGAAAGTTTATGAATATGTTTGCTGAATTGGATGAGTTAAAGAACATGAAGTCAAGTGTCAGGAATGATTATGCTGCTTATAGACGGTATGTTTCATAAAAAAGCTCTAAGATATTAGTTGGGTTTGGGTACATCCTGATTAAGAACTTTTCTGTCCAGATTTGAGATATGAGGAGAATTGAGGAACTTATGATATGAAATTTAGACAAGTTCAAATCAAAATAGGGGACATTTGGTTTACTTTGCGTAGCATTCGCTAAATGATGTTTTGTATGAACTTCCAGAGATTTTAGAGCTAGAAAATTTAAGAATAATTTATATACCACATCCACAAAATAGTAGTTAAGATCTTTGAAAGTTGTTATCCTTATATAATCTTAGCCAGTAAACAGGAACCTCAGTTGCTGTCCTTTTGAAATATTGTCTTTTTTCCTTTGTTATATCTTATATTTTCTGTTGAACACAATGGACACAAAAATTTAATTCTTCCATTATTTTCAGAGCTGCTCAGTTCCTGCGAGTATTATCAGACCCAGTGGCACTACAAGAATCTCAGACATTGTCTATCAACATGGCTACACAGAATAAGATACGAGACACATTAAAAGAAGCGATGTTACAGATACCTGGTTATGAAGAATTACTAGCTGATATTGTGTGTTTATGTCTCAGTATGTATGAGACTAGAATGTATCTTGAACCTGAAGAGAAGTATATGTTAGTCAAGGTAACATGTAATTTCAAATTATCTTGGGTTTTTTTGGACTTGCACAACTTAGTAATGACATCTCTTCGTTAATTTGAAAAAATCTACACCGAAAATAGGCAAAGTTGAATGATTCCACAAATTCAGAACAATCAGAACTCAGCAATCGAGAGACTGATATAAATGATCTTTGGGATCTACATTCAGCATATATTTTCATACCTTGCAAATTTGTTATTATAGGTGATGGCATTTGGTTTGAACCTAATGGACTCTACAACTAGTAATATATATAAAATGGATGCCAAGAAAAGAATCAACATTAGTAAAATTGATAAAATATTGAAGGTGGGAGCCAAATATTAGTTAATGGAATTTTTTGGCTTGTCAGATTTTTTGTAATACTGTTTATAGTAAAATATATTTGCTCTGTTAACTGACTGAAAGTGATGCCGACACTTGACAGACTCTTAAAAAGGACAAGTTTAAAAACCCAGTAGCAAAGTGGTATCAGGTGTACCAGAATGCTTTTAGACCTGCATTGCTAGTGACACCTGTAACAAAAATTATTATGATGCAGCTCAAAGAAGATAATGATTTCGAGCTGGACTCAAGTTTAATGCCATTAGGTTAAAGAATGACCACAGGAACAGTCTTGTCCACCAGCAGAGCTATAATCTTTTCAATTTTGTTATGAGCTCAATGTTATATTTGTTTCAGACATTAGAAATAGTACCACTATATGGTGACATGCAGATAGCACCCTACCATTATATTAAATGTAGTCCTAATTTTGATGGGTCTAAGTGGCCACTGTGTGAACGTAACGAGCCCAGTCCCCAGTCTAACCTGTTAGCTAATCTAGAGGCTATACGAGAAGACCATATGGAATATATCAGTCAGCTATCTAGACACAGTAATGAGGTAAGTTTGCTCATGTATATTTTAAGCATTTGGCAGGTTTAAATTTGATTAAGCTAAGCTAATCAGTAATAGTGATCCCAGCTCACCGTCGAGATGTGAGCCATTAAATCCTTGTGTATCCAGAATTATTCTTGTTTGAAAGTTGAAATATGTAGAGATGTAGTAATAGACAGTGAAATTCCTAGTTTGAGGTATTTTTTAATGGAATTATTTACTTTTTCCATGTCATTAACCTCTGAAATTTGATCAAAGAGATAAATTTGATCATTCTGTACTACATGTGGTTCATAATTATTTAATGAAATCCTCACTCTTGGTTTAAAGCTGTAACTTGCCTCTTTAACTGTTCATTTGTCACTTTACAGGCTATAACCACAATGAGAGACCAACCTCGATCTGATATAGAAAATAAAGAGCTATTTGATTTAGCTTTAAAAGGTCTACAGTTACTTTCTGCTTGGACTCAACAAGTTATGGAATTGGTAAGTTAGTATTTTCTGCAGTCTTGAAAAGCCATGTGTCTAAGGCTTGGCATCAATATCAAGATTTGAGATGCTGTTTTGGATAAGGGGCCTGTTGATGATGATCGCAACTAATATATATTTAAAATTTCAGTATTCTTGGAAGTTATTGAACCCTACTGACCCTCATCAGAATCCTGACTGTCCTAAAGATGCTGAAGAGTATGAAAGGGTAAGTAACTCTTGTCTTCTTTCAGACAACATTTATTTCTGCACTTTCACAGCTTTTATAGCGAAATACGATGCCTGGACTATCAAATTTTATTTTTTATTTAACATACACTGTGTTAAAGATTATCATCATTTGGTGGCCACAACTATTGCTACATAGATGCTTTTTATTTGTCATATACTCTGAAGTAATAAAGTATAGAGCAAGTGACACGAGCCTTTTGGGTATTATATCACAAATATCAGGAATCCAAGACTGGTCAGTGGTATATTTTTTATTTTCGAATAAAACCCTTGTTTTGGTTTGGTTTGAAGGATATGATTGCCAAAGCATCCATAGAGTGGTAAAATCTCCCCTGTTCGGAGACTGGGGCCCCCTTTACACTCAGTTGATATTTTCCATTTTTTGATAATCTATTTTTTATTTTATGATAATTTCAGGCAACACGTTATAACTACAGTAGTGATGAAAAATTTGCGTTGATTGAGGTTATAGCTATGATAAAAGGCCTCCAGTTATTAATGGCTAGAATGGAATCGGTCTTCATGGATGCCATCAGACGTCATATTTACCAGGAACTACAAGACTTTGTTCAGTTGTTCCTCCGTGATCCATTGCGTAAAGCCATTAAGAAGAAAAGTGACGTCATTAAAGGGTAGCTATATTATTTCTTTTGATAAAAAATGTTAAGACGCATGTGAAATATCCAATCTTTTTTTCATCTGTAATGAAAGTAAGATCTTGCATTCACATTTTTTTCTATTAACTTATTAGAAAATAAAATGGTGTAATATTTCCTACTTGTTTGCACCTGACCTGGCTAATGAATTCAGGTGCCAACACTCTGCAGTGAGCAATGAGCAAACTTTTTCCAGGACAACAGCATTCGCCTACTTGTTTTTTTTTAATTTCCAGCCTTCAATGTAATTGAAAAGGAGCTGATCAGAAAGACGTAAAAATGCTTTTTTACTTACTTTTCTTTACATCAAACATTGCGTTGTATTTACAGTATAATAATGGCGGTAAGAGATACATGTGTTGATTGGTTGAGAGGAGTAGAACCACACGATGACCCGGCGTTACGTGGTAAAAAAGACCCTGATGATGGTTTCTTTATCAAAGTTCCAAGACGAAATGTTGGTCCTTCAAGTACCCAGGTACTATATGTTTTATATCTATTTGTAGTTATATATGTTTTGTATCTATTTGTAGTTATATTTGTAGTTATATATAATTTGTATCTATATTTGTAGCTATAGGTGGTATGAAGTTAACAATGTGTATCTATTTGTAGTTATATATGTTGAGTGTCTATTTGTAGTTATATATGTTGTGTATCTATTTGCAGTTATATATGTTGTGTATCTATTTGCAGTTATATATGTTTTGTATCTATTTGTAGTTATATATGTTTTGTATCTATTTGTAGTTATATATGTTGTGTATCTGTTTGTAGTTGTATATGTTTTGTATCTGTAGTTATATTTGTAGTTGTATATGTTTTGTATTTATTTTTAGTTATATATGTAGTTGTATATGTTGTGTATCTGTTTGTAGTTATATATGTTTTGTATCTATTTGTAGTTATATATGGTAAGAACGATGTTAGAATCTCTGACAGCTGAGAAGAGTGGAGGAAAGAAAACACTACGTAAAGATATTGACTTCAGTCATCTTCAAACTATTGATAACTTCCATAAAACTTCTTTCTTCTGGAATTATCTTATTAATTTTAATGGTAGGTTAATTCATTTTCTTAAAACATTTTCAACAACTCTTTCCAGAGTATCAAGACAAAATATTTTCTTTGGAGTTCAGCCCTGGATTTTGAGGGTTTTTTTTGTTTTATCTGAGTCATGTTATATTTAGATTGTTAAAAGGAGGGAACTAAATGTAGGGCAGATCTTTTACCATTACTATGATAATTTCAGTATTTCAAACTGCATTCCATTACTTTTTTGCTCGGCAAACAACAATTTTCTATGTGGGTGGATTCTCAGGTATTTCCTAAGGTGCTCACAGGTACCACCCTGGGGCACAGCCTACAAGTACCTCACTTGTATTAGAAACATTACTCCCCTAAACTCCTGATTATGTGTTTAAATTTATAATTTTAGAGACTCTGTTTAACTGTTGTGATCTATCTCAACTATGGTATCGAGAATTTTATCTTGAATTAACCATGGGAAAGAGAATTCAGGTAAGATTATTCTCAATATTCAATATATCATAAGTTTAAAAGTTGATAAAGCACAAAATCATGCCACTCTTTTTAGAAATATTTTGAGATGGAATTGTAAGTATTTTTGAAAAATGGTTGACAGTTTATTGGTATACATTAACTCACTTCTTTCATAACAAAGTATATAATGTTTCAACACAATTTACACGTGTCGTCATCAGATGAAATGAAAATATTCTCATGAATACCCCCTTTTTTCATTTCATCTGATGACGACACGTGTAAATTGTGTTGAAACATTATATACTTTGATATTAAAGAAGAGTGTTATACCATCATATATACCCTTGTTTATTTTGGTTATATGTGCTCTCTGCTTCTTAATGTTGTTCAAATCTTCCATATTAGTCAAGGTAATGTTATTTTTGATTGGAATAAAATTAAGAAGATTATCATAACAATGTTTTTTATTTTTCAGTTTCCTATTGAGATGTCTATGCCGTGGGTTTTAACTGATCATATTCTAGAAACTAAAGAACCCTCAATGATGGAGTGAGTACCTGATTTAAAATTTAGGTTATGCTATCTCAAAAGCAACAAAAGATCTTTACGATAGTGACGTCTTTAAACAATTTAGTTTTAGTGGACCATTATAAAAATCTGTACAAGCAAAATAATGCCAGCAAACAAAAATCTCGTCCAAAGCATGACAAAATTAGGAGCAATATAAGTATAGAAAGGAACTCCTCAATTGAGACGTACCATCAGGTGTTTTGATAGGAGTAAGCATGATCTGCTTATACTATTTATTTTTCTATTTAGGTATATCTTATATCCCTTGGATTTATACAACGATTCTGCCCACTACGCTCTGACTAAATTCTGTCAACAATTTCTTTATGACGAAGTCGAGGCTGAGGTGAGCGTCCTTTCAAATAATTTAAAAGACTTTTGATTAGTTATGAATGAAATTATGTGGAGAAAGTAGGACTCGACAAATTTACAGCCCGATGAAAAGAAGTTTACAAAGATCACGTTTATCTTCTAGTCCTTTACCAAACTTCTTGACAAGGATCATTCCCAGGTTATCTGTTACAGTTTTCAACTTGGTGAACCTGAATTATGAGAAAAGATGACTTATTTAGGGTGATCAGACTTTCAAATGTCAACCAAGAAGCAATGACCACCATCTAATTTTTTGTGTATTTTTCAGGTTAACCTATGTTTTGATCAGTTTGTCTATAAACTTAGTGATCAAGTTTTCGCTTACTATAAACATCTCTCGGGCAGGTAAGTTCATTAAAAATTCAAAATCTGCTAAGACAAATATCACAAAGTTTTCATCGTTCAATATTTGGATGTAACGTTAGCTCGTTTTAAACCTACGATTTTAAATTGTTAACATCTAACTATCTGAAGATCTAATAACAATGTCTGTGAATTATCATATTGTTTTTGTAGTATTATGTTGGATAAAAGATTCCGATCTGAATGTGCTAGTCATGGAGCTAAAATTAACTACCCTACTGCCAATAGATATCAAACATTACTCAAACAACGACACGTTTCGGTAGGTGGAATCTTTAATGTCAAACATATTCAAAGGGACCCTTCAACTTTAACAGTTGTTTGAATGTTTGCTGGGACAATGACCCAAGGCCCAATGTGCAAAAGGCTGTGTTGTGTAGTTCTGAATATTAGGCTAATCCCGCTTTCCACTTGGAACATTTCTCTCATTGCACACTGCATGGCTTGACCTATCTTCATCAGAAAAGTTGCACTAAATACAACCTGGAAGTCTTACTTAGTCATACGTAAAAAAATTACAGATTTTTGTAATTGGAATATGTAAAATGTTGAACTCTAGTCGTTCAAATTGGACAAAAATGATATCTAAAATTATACATGTAAGATACTACTTATTTGAGAAAAGGAGATGTAAAAATTAAGAAAATATTAATTTCAGATTTTGGGAAGATCAATAGATTTAAATAGATTAATAGGACAAAGAATCAATGCTGCTCTACAGAAAGCTTTAGACGTGGCCATAGCTCGATTTGAGGCTGGAGATATTACTGGTATAGTGGTAAGTTCATAGTCTTATTTTTAGAACACCATTTGGGTTGTAAATTGAGATTTTTCAACCTTGTTTTCATTGATGCAGGTTGGAGCAATCTCAATGTCCTAGCAGACGACAATCCAACTTGTTATTGACTGAGCTATTCCACTGTCCTAGCAGACGACAATCCAACTGGCTACTGACTGAGCTATCCTACTGTCCTAGCAGACGACAATCCAACTAGCTACTGACTGAGCTATCCCACTGTCCTAGCAGACGACAATCCAACTGGCTACTTACTGAGCTATCCCACTGTCTTAGCAGACGACAATCCAATTAGCTACCATCTGAGCTATTCCACTGTCCTAGCAGACAACAATCCAACTCACTACCGACTGAGCTAATCCACTGTCCTAGCAGACGACAATCCAATTAGCTACCAACTGAGCTATTCCACTGTCCTAGCAGACGACAATCCAACTGGCTACCTACTGTTCTTTTTTAATGGTATGTTTGCAAGTCAATTTATTTTTTTTAGGAATTAGAAGGATTATTAGAATGTAACAGGCTGACTCATAAACTACTGAGTGAATATCTAACATTGAACGATTACGATGCCATGCTCCGTGAAGCCAACCATAACGTATCAGCTCCGTATGGACGTATTACACTACATGTATTCTGGGAATTGAATTATGATTTCTTACCTAATTATTGTTACAACGCTGCTACCAACAGGTTTGTGTTTATTTCACTCTCATTGGTTGAATTATCTAAAGCAGGGACTAATTTCAACCCAAAAAATGTAAGATGGTTGTATTGTTCTTATAAGTTACTCAACAATCAATTTTCAAATGTTTATCCTTGATTCTCATTGGTTGAATTCTTATCTTAAGTAAGGGCTTATAATCTATCCAATATTTAATTTTCAAATGTTGAATTTTGTCTTAAAATTTGGGGAAACAATGCCTGAACTAAATTGTTAAATGAATAAGATTTTCATTGACCTCCTTCAAGATTGAACAAGGGCCAGAAATTTTAAAATCTCCAGAATATCTGAGCCACTAAATGTAAAATGACAATAATTATAATTATGTTTTGTGTGTGTGTTTATTTCAGATTTGTAAAACATGATAAGTTGACATTTGTAACAGACGCCAAGCGAGAGAAAGCACCCAACCCTTCTCCTCATTATATCTGGGGTACAAAGGTTAGTACGAATAAATTAATATAATCTCAGATTCCCATATGAAGTGACAACAGTCTAAACTGCCATGTAATGCTGTTATTGAATTGTAGGAGAACGCAATGTTGAATTTTGATTCTGAAAAGTGTTATGTATAGCCAAAATTTAACTCTAGCAGCAGATAATGTATAGCCTTAGATTACTTCAAGTTAAGATGAAGCAAAGTGACATAATTGAAAAAATAAAAAATATTCTTCTTGAGTTTAGTTGTCATTCCAAAAGTAAAACATTTTATTCCATAAGGCTACAGTCTTCATATCCCTGTATAAACCTACCCTTTCTAATTTCCAGACCCTGACAACAGCCTATAGTACAATATACAGCCTGTATACCCGGTTTGTGGGTACCCCCCACTTTCATTCTATAGTACGATTACTAGGGTATCAAGGTATAGCTGTCGTTATAGAGGAACTCCTTAAAACCATTGAGGGCTTCGTAAGTATCAAATTCTCACTCTTTCAATTGCAGACTTCAATATCAATGCTTAGTTTGAGTCAAATTTGCTTCCATAGACGTCTGACTTAAAATTGGAATGGTGGGAATTGATGCAATCAGTGCTCACGATGTACATAAAAAGTTTTAAAAAATGCTTTATAACCCCTTTAAGAATGTCATTCAAATGTAGTTATCTATATACAGGTATTTTACATTGCTAAATACAATAATAATTGTTATATTTATGTTATTTCAGTTGAAAGGTACTACACTTGAATATGTTAAAATGTTAATGAAAGTTTTACCACCAACTTGTAAACTTCTAAGATTTGATTATGGTTCACCAGGTACAGTAACACCATTTTTTATTTCCCTCATTGCATACTGCAATAAAGTGTAGACATGAATCTCATTTTCTATTGTTACTTTTTTAGACCAAATTGCATGTTTTTAATTCTTTTCATAGAGTCCACATAGTTAATAATGTTTATTTGGTATTAAGGTTCAGAGAGTCTACAAAGCTAATAACTTTTATTTGTTATTGAAGGTGTGCTGGCATATTATAACGCCAACCTAGTAGACTTGATCCAGTATCCTGATTTAAGAATGGAAGTCTTCCAGAGTTTCAGAGAAATTGGAAATGCCATTTTATTCACAGTACTTCTTGAACAGGCCATGGTAAGGCGCGTTTTTTTTTTGCACTTTACTAGAAATTGAGACGGCATCAAATCTCTCTCTGCCTGTAACCATACACTATAGGGTTGAACATGGAATACATGAATGCATTCTGGTTAAAATGATTTTTTTCTAAATCCCAGCATTTTTCCCCCTGCTCGTCGAATGTCCGTCTGCCTGTAACCATACACTATTGGGTTGAACAAGGAATTTAACTGTGTAATAACAGCGAGATAATATAGCGTTTCTTTACTATCACAACACTCTGACGTGAACAGAATTATATATATTAAAAATGGCAGCCAACAGATATAGAACGAACCAATGATTAGCCCTGTTGTCTTGATAGCTTTCTGGGATAGCTTCCAATTAGGATTTGTCACTGTGGATTTTTTGGATGGCCTTGGCCTTTCTGAGGCTTTCTGGGATAGATTGGAGTTTGTATTCTGGGATCGATTTGAGTTCAGATTCACTGAGGCTTTCTGGGATAGCTTTGAGTTTGCAGAGGACTTCTGAGGTAGCTTTGAATTGATCACTGATTTGTTTGGGTCTTGATTCCCTGAGGCTTTCTGGGATAGCTTCCAATTTGAGGACTTCCTGACTAGCTTTGAGTTGGGATTAGTTGTGGAGGACTTAGCTATCAGAATATCCATTGAAGACCTGGTTATTGTGTTGTGAATGGGATAGGAAATTATATCCAGTTCTTTCCCCTTGTTGACCTCCTCATCATCATCATCATCATAATCATCATCATTATCATAATCATCATCATCCCATTTCTCAGTCATAGTTGATGAGATGCTCTCAATCTCACACTTAACCTCTTGACCCCTAGAGGTCATATTCCAATCCAAGGAATGTTGCTGAGCGTGGATTTGATTATGGATTTTGTTTGCCATGTAAAAGATCCGTAGATACATGAATAACATGACTGCTGCACTGAAAAAACAGATACTGCTCCAAAGGATGATATAGCTTGAAGAGAGCAACTCATTCATTGCACAGATCCCTTTATATGTATTCCAACCTGCTAGCGGAAGAATTCCTATTCCGATTGATATTACCCACAATCCAATGATGCATCCCATAATTCTTTTAAGCGTTATAAATTTATCGTATCTGAGTGCATGAATGACAGCAATATAGCGTTCAATTGCAATTAGGACCAATGTTAAAATGCTGGACATAAGACTCGTAAAAATTAGGACAGGTCCCTCGAATGTCAAACACAGATAGATATTGGATCGTATTGCGTGATAAAGAAAATGACGATGGACGTCAAAGTTGTATCGAGCGTAAACCAAGAGCAGGCTCCAACTCGCGGAATAAAGAAAGACAACTCCAAGGATGATATCGGACACAGCTAAACTGAACAGTGGAATATTGTTAATCGTATGTAAATGTCGATTTCTGACGAAAACCAAAATAACGAAGGCGTTGATAAAAATTATTAAGAAGCTGAGAAATATCGAGATCCAATATACGGTTTCACTGTCTACATGACTAAAACAGTCCGTATGTTTAGCGTGTTTCAGCATTTTATGAAAAACATGATGGGATATTCCCATTGAGGTAGCGTTACAATTCTCAATATGTACATATTTACAAAATTTCATCCAAAACCCAACTCGTTTTTCAGTGTCATTGACTGTCAAGAAGTCGATAGATTCTAACGATGCTTCACACTTGTTGGTTGCCATGGAAATGAAAAATATGACGTCTGGTTTCGTCTGTAACAAAAAATTGAAAGTGCAGAAGTAAATATTCAGTCCGGTGAAAGTGACATTCTGTTCTGCAGTTTTACACAATGCTCATAGATTTCCAAATTAAATTTTGATGTTAAGATCCAGCAATGAACTTTTTGGAGACATTTTTTTGAAAATCACAGATTTTTCTCAGTTTGTTTTATTTATTTGTTATTAGAATTCTTGACACAAGTGTCACTCAATGATTTCCAGTTCTTGTTAACATAAACTCTTAGACACTATAAATCCCAGTTCTACAATAAGAAATAGATTCTGATAATGTTTCTCCCTTAACTATATTAATTTATCTGATAAAATAAAAGAGTTTAAAAGGTTTTATTATGATATCTCTAGATGGTTAATTGACCATGTTGATTCAGCTTCGTTATCTCTCCTATTGGTTAATTAAAGGGGGGTAATCTGTAGGTTAACGAAGCTGTCAGAACGGCTTTAGAATGACCAATAAGGCTGATTTTTATACGCCCACATCTTTCTATGTGGACGTATATTTTCGGCACCCCTGTCCGTCGGTCAACATTTGCTTGTAAAACTAGATTTTTTGATGGAATCAAATTAAATTGGGTATGTGTATTCATATTCATAAACGAAGATCAAGCAGAGTTATTGTCCTTGCCCCAAAATCTTGAATATTAACCATCCGCATGCCATGGTAGCGTATATGACTGTGGTCCACTATCTTAATAGATGAAATCATCAAAAGGGCTTTTGGGTTTTTCTTGTAGGATGAATATCTGAAAGTTAAAAATATCCAGCCGTTAATTTTTTAATGCCAAAACTATTAAAAAAGTTTGGAGATTCTTCATGTGAATCAAAGTATCTTAGAAACACAAACTTATTTAACATTTAGCTTGATTTCATTAACAATAATATGTTTGTGTATGCTAGGAACTGGCAGCCATCTTTAAATTTGAAGTTGCTACATTTTATGAGTCTCATCTTTAAAACCTACGATATCTCTTTGAAGTTGTTATAAATGTTGATATTTAGACAGCTTAATTTGTTATCTAAACAAGGTTTTAATCCTATAATTACCTCTAATCTTTCTTATCTTTAGTTAAAGCAGTTGAACTTATTTTAGCACTGACATATTGTAGACAAACATGATGCTAGAGATCCATTCTGAAAAGCTCTCTAGGAAGCTTGCATGTTCAAATGCATAGGCCTAAATTCATATTCACAATGTCAACTCTGTCTTATACCTTGACATCATTAGACACTTTTCTTGTTTGAAAATCCTATGACACCTGTCAGAAAGCTTTAAATATATGATTAAGGCTAAAACCATATGTCCATCATTCATACAAAAAAGATTTTTTTTATTATATAATTTGAGTTTTTAAGATTGGGTGTTTTTTTGTAAGAACAATATTTTATTGATTATTATTAAATTGGATGTTCAATGAGCTTTTAGGCAATGTACAGTAGTAGAAGTTAGGTGTAATGATAATATTGATTACCGGTATAATGAACTATCAAATGCCTAGTAACCCAAATATTTTAATATTGTTACAAGATAGTGGTTATTACAGATGATAATATAGTTTGTTTAGAATTATTATAGCTCTTCTCTTAATACAGCCGTAGGGATGTTGATTTACTTGTATTTGCCAGTCATGTCTGACTAGAGAACTATTTTTATATTATTACAGATGATAATAGTTTGTTTAGAATTATTAAAGCTCTTCTCTTAATGTTGATTTAATTGTATTTGCCAGTTGTAGACTATCGATTTGGTACTATCTACCTGTCATGTCTGACTGAATTTGATCTGAATTGGTTTTAAACAAATCAGAACACCACATCAATGTTGTAGCCAACTGGCATACAATCTATAACCTTGTTTAATATTTCGAGAAAACCTTTTCAATTGGTTTTTTTTTTTTTTTTTTTTTGCAGACCCAAGAAGAAGTATGTGATTTAAAACATGCTGCACCATTTCAAAATATAATTCCTAAACCACATATTCCTATAAAAGGTAAATATATTGTACGGTACTCTGCCTCAAAGATTCTGGTGTTCACAGAGCTACCTCTTTAGTCATTGGCACCGCTTATTGCATCCCTATATATCCTTTTAAAAGGATCATAAAGAATTTTTACACCTTTTTATGAGATAGCATTAATTTTCATCATTCTAATTTCAATTAGTTGTGTGCAATTCCACTCAAACGAAGTGTTTATGACGTCACTTTTTTCAAATATCTTCATTGCATGACCCACGAATGTGTGATTTAAATATACAATGGTGCAAATTGATACTATCATTGTCCCCGATACACATAAAAAGTTTAGAGAACCTCTCTATATTGTTGTAATTTATTTTACAGAAGGTGATAATAGAAAAGATAAAGAAGCAGAATTAAAATTATTTATGAAACAATTAGAGAAGAAATATGCTGCATTACAAGTTGTTTCTGTTATTAAAAAACTTGGCAATCAGACGGTCAGTATTGTTCAATATTTTAGATATCAATTACTGTAAGAAAGCAGACGGAGGCTAGAAGCAGACGACAGATTTTTGAGTCAGTTGAAATCAAAAACTTGGTCATGTGTTCTGGCTTTTGTCACATGAATTTTGTCATGCATGACCACAAAGTTCATGTATCATCTGTTGTTTCTGTCTGGCTTAAAGAACGATTCCTAACTGCTAAATCATTTAGGATGAAAATCTCCTATTTCATTTTGACAATTGCAATTTGAAATACAGTAGGCGTCTTTTGACTGAAGTTGGGACCCACCCACTTTTTTTTCTTGTGCTCTCTCTAAAAAGACATACACATATATTGTCATTAATAATCCAATCAGAAACAGAAACCAATTAGCATTATTTCATATTTTTTCTATTACTATATGATAGAATTGTAATGTGTAATTATAGCAAGCTGATATAGCGGCAGAAGGTGATTTATTAACAAGAGAGAGGCTATGTTGTGGACTGTCTATGTTTGAAATAGTATTAACTAGAATGAAATCATTCCTGACTGACGCACTATGGCACGGTGAACCCCCCACTAATGGTGTTATAAATATAGATAAGTGTACAGAGTTTCACCGACTATGGAGTGCTATACAGTTTGTATTCTGTATGCCTATGAGAGAAAATGAATACACTATCGAGTAAGTGTTTAAATTTTTATATTTTAAAGGCAAAAGAGGCGTCATTTCTTACAATTATGACTCAACTTGCTCCATTCTCAATCTAATCCAAAATTTTTTTATGTTTTCAGAGAGTTGTTTGGAGAGGGGTTAAACTGGGCTGGATGTTCTATTATTATGTTGCTAGGACAACAGAGAAGATTTGAAGCTCTAGACTTCTGCTATCATATACTGAAGGTCAACAGAGTTGATATGAAGGATGAAAACGTCAAGGGTATTGTAAGTATCTGGGGTAATGAATGGGGGTGAGGTAAGGAATCGGGGATAGAGTGGGTAAGGAATGACAGGTGGTGTAGGTTGTTAGGGATAGGCAGAAGAGAAAGGGGTCGGAATGGGGTTTGGTATTAGGTGCTCAGGGCATGGACCAGCGAGAAAAGGGTGGGAGGATAAAGGGCTGAAAGTGGTATAGTGTAAGGGTAAAGAAGAAATAAACTAAATGGCGAGAATGGGGAAAGGTACTAGGGGTAAGGAAGATATTGTGCCTTGACTCTCACATATTTCAATACATAGCCCTTTTTCTCTCTCTCCTCATTCCTTTGTCTGTCTACATTGTTCCTTGTTCAACCCTTCTTCCCTTATTTCAGCAATTGAAGAAAATGGTGGATCGAATCCGAAAGTTTCAGATTTTAAACAATCAGATATTTTCAGTATTAAATAAATACATGAAGACCACAGACGCCGAGAGTATGCCAGTCGAACATGTTCGTTGTTTTCCTCCCCCCATTCACCAATCTCTAGCTACTACTATATAAACTGGTCTCAGTGATCTGATAATTACTCAATATTCCATGATTAAGACTAATACCATTCAACTTCTAGCTCACTGATTTTCTTCATAGGAAATTCAGAAAGATTTCTTCAGCTGTTTAGGTGAACTCAATCTAAAATTCAATATATTCAGATCTTGATTAAGTGAGAAAAAAAATTTATGTTAATTACTTTTCCTTATTTCACTATTGAAGAAAGATACTGCTATTTAAATGGTTGTCTTTAAAATGAAATGTAGAAAACAAATCATTCATTTTCAAGACCAATTCCAGTTACACTATCACACTAGTTAGTTTCACCTATTTTAACAGATGAACTTCATCGAAAATTCAACATAGTAAGATCAAGATAGAGTAAAGTATTAATGTCTAACATCAATTTTTCGTATTTTTTTTTCCACAGCATTTAGCTCATTTTATTTTGATGTAAAATTATTAATTCTTCCAATTTTCGTATATTTATTGTGCAATCTCTCTCAATTTTTACACAAATTTTTCATTTTGTACGTTCCTAGCTTAATTTTTTTTTATCTGATTATAGTATTTATTTTTTGAAAAAGCCTTTAGGAGAGGGTCATTTAGTTAAAATTTTATTTATGCATGAATTGTCACAAAATAATAATTTACCTGATTTTTTTTTTAAAGTATGTAAATGTATATATAAAAAAATTTTCTAATTGGAATCTTTCCTCATTATTCCTGTAAAAAGGTTCTGATAATCCTGTAGATAGGTAAAGGATATCTGGGGTATGTCAATGCCAAGAGGCTGGAAGACAGATTTCTCAAGATCTTAAATTTTTCTCTTTAAAAAAATGTATATAATCATTTTTTTGTCTATTTTTTTTGCGTTTTCTGCAAGAAAACCCTGGCACATGATATACCAGATAAAAGACTATTGGACGATTATTTGAATTTTTTAGACATAAATTTTCAATTATTGAATCCATAGTCTAATGTACATAGATCATTTTGTATCTTATTTTTTTTCTCATTTGTAAGATATATTATAATCTTTTAGAAGCTTAGCTTAGTATTTGTCTTTTGGTGGTTTGTAAGTTCATAACCAATGTTAAATCAACATCTATTGGGAAGTTCTACATTTAGTAAGGGAATAGCTTCATTTGTTTTTCAGGGACCAATTTCACTTGAAGCCTTTCTGTAAACATTATTTTGGTAGTCGAGTCTAAATATAGCTTTTATCAGTTTTTTGTCTGCATGTACTGTCTCAAGACTGGATTTTGAAAGGTAACTTGCCAATTATTTTTTTCATGTAAATTATTGGTTGGTTCCTAGATGACAAGTTAACATCCAATTACAGCTAACTGATATCACAGACTGGATCAATGGTAGTATTCGATACTGTTTGTTAAGTTAATGAGAGAACTTCATATCCTGTTGGGTCAAATGAAATGGATAAATTTGAATGACTCTTTAATAGTTCAAAGATATTTAAATTGTCTTTGGGTTAATAGATTATTTAACGAATTAAAAATCGAATTTAGACATATTGAATAGCTGTTAAAACTTTATATATTCAATGTATTTATGTAAGTTTTGTAATTCCACATCTATGTCATATTATCTTGCTTGTAATAAACTGTATCATTTATCAAACCTGTTAGTTACACCATCTCCCCTTCATCCAGGAATTAGATACCTGAAGGTATCAGCAGTTCTAGGCCTGACCTTGTAAATGAGACAATAAAACAAGGTCCTGTGTCTCATCACTGGCCTGTGTGTTATAAAGTTCATAAACTTTTTAATACTAAAACAAATGTTTTGAATAATTTTTATTTAACAAAGATGATTATTTACAAAAAAAACATGACACATGAACATTTTGCCGTTATGTGATATGAATAAATTCTACAGAGAACCAAATGACTTGGCTTTGTAGTTGAGAATCCATGATAAGAAGTGCTATAGCTCTAGTGATGAAACATGCTCCTGGAACATTCCAATTCAACATATTAAGCTCATAAGTTGATGTTCTTTTTGGCCATTCTATGTCCGAGCCCATTGGAACGATTTCCCTTATATATATATATATACAACAATGAAAATGATAAACTAATAACTAATGCCGTCATCGAACTGTTTTCTTCAGAAGACCCTGTTCTATTAAATCTAAATCCTGGCTATCATCTTTAATAATTTGTATTAAATGTTCTAAACCTTCTTGTTGCTGTTTTAATAACTAAAATTAAATAATAAAATACTTTAAACAATCTTTACAATATCAAGCATCTTACACCTTGACTGCAATAGCCACTTTTCTTGCATTATGGTAGTTTGTACATGAAGCAATTTGATTGGATGGTACGCTAGCTTATACAGCCAATCAGAGCCCTCCACATAAAGACTGTTAACATTGTGTTGAGGCCTCTGATTGGCTGTATTCACTATTCCAATTAGTTTTAAAATCTATTAATTTTCGTGTTTATGATTTGAATAAGTCCTGAAAAGCTTGATTTTGTTACACCTACCTGTTTCATTTCATGTTGTAACTCTATATCCATATGATAATTGACGTCTGGTCTGTTGGTAAACAGATGGTTCTGCATTCTTATCTGAGACATCAACTCATTCAGACGGCCCTGGAAAACACAGGTAGAAAATTGAAGAGAACAGAAAGTCTAAGAGAGACTAACAATTTTGATACGTTAACCTTGTACAATTAGTCTGAGAAGTGCAGAAAACCAAGGTAACATGACGCTTGTCCTGGGACCAGATGGTAGATATGATCCAAGCTAGATTGTTAATGCTCTTATTATACATTAAAGGCATTGTAAGAAGATTTTCTAAATTCTTTATGTGTATTGGAGACACTGATAGCATCAATTTGCACAATTCCATTTTTCAATCAGACATCTTGGAATTGCAGAAACCAAAATTGGAATTGAGCAAAACAGAGAGTCACCAATACACTACAAAGTTTAGAAGATCTCTTTACGATGCCTTTATGGACAGAATACCATACCTTAAACTGTGTAGGGTGATTGAGCTCAGCTTGTATAGCTTCTAGTTGAACCTTGGTATGTTCTTCTTCAGCTTGTATAGCATATCCCATTTTACGATAAACTTCTTGTTTCACTATAACCTATAGATATAATATAACTTATACATCAGTCTCAGATATACTTCTAATATCATAATCTAAAACAGATCAATTCTCCATTTTGTATAAACAAATATCACTCAGTGAAGAGTTCAAATGTCATCTTTCAAGGTTGCATATTGACCTTACCATTAAGCGTATTAAATCAATCTAAAGGGATTGTTAAGAGGTTTTCTAAATTCTTTATGTGTATAGAATTAGTGGCATTGTAATTGATTGAAATTGGAATGTGGCAAATTGATGCTATCAAGTGTCCCCAATATACGTTTTGAAAACCTCTTAACAAGTTAACAATTCCCTTAGTGAAATCCTGAGTGGTACAATCCCTACCTACCTGTAAGAGGCGATGACCCAGTTCTAAATGTTTTCGTTTATACTCTTCTAGTTTGGCTAACATATTACTGTGTTTATTCTGTAACTCACTCAGATCTTCCCCCATTTCCTACAGAAACACACAAAATATACTCAGTTTAAAGCCAGCAGAAATAATAGGTTATAAGGTTTTGTAGTACAAAATTCATTGACTTCTAGGTTTTGAATCAACCAAAAAAAGAGTGTCATGTAAAACCAGAATCTTGATAAATAAGGAATTGTGGGATATCGAAACCCAAAGAGGTTGTCATATCGCTCTACTTTGGGCCTCGCTATCCAACAATCCTGTATTCTATCAAAAACAGATTCTACATGAAATGACATAAATAATGCCACCTTTTGGACAACCCTTTGATAGAAAACTTGTTAGATTACAATGTAGACTAAGAATATCAGAAATTATAAAAAGATCAGAAATTGTAATCTCATTTAATTAGATTGTTAGACTGTTCCACATCTCTGTCCTGAAAAAACAGAAATATTCACCTACATCAATACGTTGTTGATGAAGAGAGGTCTGTTGTTCCTGATATTTCAATCTCTGTTGAACTTCTTTAAATCCAATCATTGGAACTGGAACATACTCTTCAGGATTCGGGTTATCTAGCTTTGCTTGTTGCCATAGTAACGGATCAATGCCTAAAATTAAGCGAAAATAAAATCAGATGAAATTAGTCAAACCTGCTTGGGGCTTTTCTCTTTGTCTTCCTTCCCTTTGATGTACCTGCTGCATGTTCTACACTTCACCTTCCCACCCCTCACTTTGATATACCTGCTGGGGGCATGTTCCCTTCCCTCACCGTAACATACCTGCTGGTGGGGTGTCTAAATAATCTTTCAACTGATCCACTGATAATTCCATTTTCGGTAAAATGCTGTCTACAGTGAGCTCATTGATTAGACTGTTTTTCTGGGAAGGCTGACTTAAAAATGAAAATAATTCCGATGCTGGAACACGTCTAGCTGGACCTGAGGCGGGTCTTTCTATTACGTAGAATATTAATTCAGTTCTGCAAAAAAGAAAACAATTTTACTCTTGAATGTTAAGCTGACAAACACAATTGATAAGTGGCATCAGATGTTCTGAAGAGAAGAACATGCAATTCCAACAGGTTGGAAAAAGTCAAACAAACAGATATAATATGATATCTTGAGATTGTGTTAGAACTTTGATCAGTATTCAAATAACAAAATGGTGGGCTGTCAATATTGACAAAAAAAATTTGTGCACTGTCTATAATGCGCACACTCAGTTTGGCACACCCTTATTAAGGGGTGAAAGCCAAAACCGGGCCGACTCTGGGAAGCATTGGCACAGGCATCAGGGGTAAAAGCTGTGCACTATACATGGTATATATCCCTGTGAATATTCGAGTCTGAGGTTCACTTACTTATCATCTGGTAAAGGCTTGCTGCCTTCCACACAAACAGACAACGTTGGTTTACTACCCAATATCCTATGCAGGACATCCACAATTTGTTGTTGGACTTTACACACTTCCGAATGTTTCTTTTTTAAAGTTATGATTATCAAACCATCAGTGTTCTTTTCTACTCCTTTTATAGCATTATAGCCTATAGCCTGCAAGATATAGCATTAATATAGCATCATAGCTTTAAAAACAGCTTAATAGCATTTAATCATTTGAAACTTGCATGAGTGCATCAAAAAATAGAGGTTGTGGGTTCTAATATGGTTAGTGAGCTTAAGTCTTGAATTCCTCATTATTACAGCAGATCCAACTGTAAATTTGTACGGTTAATCTCTAAAAGATCAATGCCAACAGGCCAAGTTCCCAATTCAAAAAAATTCCTGGCAAATCTCACCTCAAATCAAATCTCACCTTAAATCTACAGAATGGGTTATCTGCCTTGAATTCCACCACGCCATTTTGATTATATAAACCCTTTCCTGTCCCCCAGAAGGCCTGCAGTTGGTTCCATTTAGCGATTATGGCATCACGTTCATCTCCATAGATCTGAGGAAGTGACACAGCCATCGCCATATTGGATAAATCATTGGCTACTTGCTGTTGTTGCAGCTGTTGTTGACCTACAAATTTAAATTGATTGTTTAATTCAAAACATAGGCCTATGTTTAAATTTTGGGCCTTGAATTATGTATATATAGACTTCAGAAGTACTAGAAATTCACAAAAATGGCATAATGCTGTCAAAAATACTTCAAACTAGAAAAAAAGAAAGAAGTTTTCCAATTAATGTTTTACCTAAAAGTCCAGTTCCACCAAAATTGGATGTACCAGCTCCTAATCCAGTTGAGGCTCCAGTCCCAAAACCAAAACCTGTTGAAGATCCTGCACCAAATCCAGTTGTACCTGTGCTAGCACCAAAACCTGTTCCAGTTCCAAAACCAGAAGTAGTTCCAGTTCCAAAACCGGAAGTAGTACCAGTTCCAAAACCAGTACCTGTAGTGCCAGTTCCAAAACCAGTACCTGTAGTGCCAGTACCAAAACCAAATCCTAGGAAAACAAAAACACCGGTCTAGTTTTGTAAAGGATTCACAATTTATAATCCTCGTGAGTCAGTTTACTTTTTTTACAAAGAGTGCTTAAATCTGTCTGAAAAATCTTCCTTTGTTTTGATGTGATATGTTTTCAGTTGTAATCTGCACCATGCATCATCACTGGATAGTTAGCCTACTACATAATCCATTAGGCCTATTAAGGCATCTTTTATAGGCTATATCAACTTTTCTACAATAAAGGATCAGTTTACCTGTCGAAGTCCCTGTTCCAAAACCAGTTCCAGTAGTTGTTGTGGTACCTGCTGTTCCAAACCCACCAAAACCAGTGGATGCGGATGTTGCTGGAGTGCTGAATCCGAACCCTCCAGCTGCAGGAGTGGTTCCAAAGCCTCCACCGAACCCAGTCGCGGTGCTTGCAGCCGGAGTGGAGCCAAAACCAAACCCTGTCGGAGCAGCCGTGGTGGTTGCCGTAGATCCAAATAATGAAGGCTGTGTAGAAGCCGTATTTCCGAATGAAAAGGCCATGATCGATTATGACCTGAAATCTAAAATAGAATAGGCCTCATACAATTTGTCAAAAATATAAAAAGGTAAATAAATATTCTTCAAATCGCATGTACCACCATTTCTACCTTCAAAATGAAGAGTAACGTGAGAGTTATCTTTTCATTGAGTTCAGACTACAGTTAACATATGTCATCACTTTCAGAGCCGTCTATATACGGCTCTGATCACATTGTTCAGAAAATTATAATACAACAGGCCTTTGGTATCAAACCAACTCACTTTGTACATTTCAAATATCATAGTCCCAGTTTTGGGTATTTTGTTATGATAATGTCAATAGGTGCAAGAATAGACACGCTAAATGCACGTGATCACACAATTTTTTTTTCGACCTCACATAGACTTGTTGTATATCAAAATTTAACAATATCCTTATTGATAAGAGTTATACACGTCAAAAACGAACGCTACTGTAAATTTACAACTTGATTGCAATGTTGGTTTCATGTTTTTCTCAACATGTCCCAAAAGGGAGGGGGTGGGGGGAGGGAGGGGGCAAAGTGGGAATGGAGGACGGTAGGGGAGGGGCAAAAGTTCTACAGACAATTTCGTAAATTTGTCCTCTCACCCAGGGGCCCCCACCCCAGAATAAATGTAAAATTGAAAAAAAAATGTACCAAAGTACATGTAAGTAGGCTATCTTAAAAACATAATATAAAATTATGGTCATGTATATAGGAGTCTTTCCGGTGTAGGGAAGGTGGTGTGGCCTCAGCCCGCTTAAGTCCACAGGCCCCCAATCATCTAGTCGAATCACTGAATGTTATTTCGATTGCTCACAGTAAATCCAGTACGACACTATACATCTTATCATTGACCCACCAACTTGTCAATGCAAAAAAAAATATAATAAAATAGATACCATGTACATGACAGAACCTTATATCTCGATCGGGAAGTTTTTTCAGTGATATTATCTATTATTATCAGATAACCCATGTTCTCGTATAGAGTCTCACACAATAGATTAATATAGAACCATTTTATGAATAATTGGATACAGTGTAGGCCTATTATGGTGTAATAACGCAAGCGATATAACGTATACATCTGTGTACAATACGCAAGTCATATAATACGCAGCTACTACGATGATATCGTGAAGAATTGGAGAATAAACATCATATTTTCAATTTGTGGAGAAACTACTGGAAAAAGTTATATCAAAATATCACCATAACGTATATATCTGAAAGCAATGCGCACTTTACATAACACGCATGGATATTGGATTATTGTTCAGATTCAGTTGGATATTAGTGATATTTAGTGAAAAAGTCGAAGTTCATCAACAATTTCTGGGAAAAAAAAGATGCCGTATATATCTGTGTACAATACGCACCTTATATAACACGCATGTATGTCATTAAGAACATTTTACTTTTGAAAAGTTTTTCATGTGTAATCTTAATAAACTATTCCTTAAAAACTTCTGTAGTTTGTTAAGTGAAAACTCACAGAGAAAGAACAATCAGGCAGAACAATCTTCAGAATAATAAGCCTACCAGCTTTCAGAAACAATTATTAATATTAGTCATCTGTCGGCCGTTAAAATGGATAAAATGACTATCATGCTCTCTGTTTTGACTTCCTATTGTGTCTTAGTTTGTGGATTGAATACAACACTTACCACAACGACAGCGGTGCAATCCATTCCGCCTCTGGGAACATCAACTGGCAAGGGATTGAATATGACAACTGTGTTAAGGGCTAACGATACTTTAAACGGATCAACAAATACAACGTCTACATCCGAACAAACAACCCCGTCTGCGACTGTAACCAAAGTACCAAAGTTAACAACTACACCTGCGACTACAACCGAACAGACTACGAATCTGCCTTATGAAGGCGCTTTGACAGAGACTGAAGAATTGGCTATCATCCTTACGGCAGTTGTTATAGGAACAGCAGTAGCTATCGTACTCGTAGCCTTAATGAGTCGCTATTTTCTGACAAGTAAGACTCTAAGCCAGGAACAGAAACAGAAATTTAAGCAGGGGTCGATATCTAATGGATTACCGGCATTCAATTTAGAAATGGCCGACTACGATAATGTCCAAACGGATAATCAGTATCCTTCGACTTCTTCGGGATCTGGTCGATGAACATATTCATCTAAAAGGAACGAACTCGGATTATACATATATTCTTAGTCATAACTTGTGATGACCTTAAAATAAAAAAAGGATCGTAAAGGGGTTATCTGAAATTGTTACGTGTTTCGGGGACACTGATAGCATCCATTTTCACTTCAAATTTTACTGTCAGGCGCCTGTGTTTCTTGCAATTTCACTAACACTAACCAAAGCCCATATACACATATAGACACTAACCTGTTCATAACGTCAACCACAAAGGGTCTTAAATGGTATACGCATATTTTGTCATAATTTTGCTTCGGGCGTTTAATAGAATTGAAGGAATTAACATTATTTGAAATGGTGCAAATCGATGTCCCCGATACAAATAAGTTCAGAAAACCTCTTTTTAGGAACTGTTTCAGATAGATCTGGGGCCGTAAATTCGATATCGTAACTGATGATGATTGAATGTCAAAGGGACAGATGCGCCATATTGAGGGGTTGATTTAAGTCTTGAATAATATATGTAAATAGTCTTCACAATTAAGTACTAGAATTGTGCGAAAATCCCAACAAATATATTTCAAATTAGGAATTTCTCTTCCTATTTCAATAGATGTCTTCTCTATATATGACAGTGTCTCAAGAAAAGACGACTCGTCTTGTTGACTTTCAAATGCAAATAATTCTGGACACACGTGGATTTGAAGGCTCACTGATAGTTTAAGCTGAGAATATAGTATGGTTGGTCAATAACAATGGCGCATCTGTCCTTTTAATGTCTTTTGGGAACCATAATAGCGATGAAAGATATATACATAATCATAGGCTTTATGTTTTAACATTTTTATGGTAATAAACTGAAGTGACAGTAGAGTAAAACAAAGAACATTTTTCATTTCTATTGTGTGTAGTCCAATTCTAAAACTTCAAAATTGGCCTACTGAAGAACATTATAAACTAGCTGAACCAGCGGCATCTGCACAACTTTGGAATTGAGGGGGTGGGGGATGGATCACCCCAAACAGTGGCGTACATGTGTACAAATTTTTCTAAGGGGGAAGGGCACAGGCCACACAAAATTTGAGTACTTGATAGTTCCCTCATTGTACACTGCATAACGTGGCCCGGTTTCATAGCGGAAATCGTAGGTAGAAAAGGTAGGATATTAACTCATTAAATTTCATTTTGAGCCATCCAAAGAAAGAGAAATTAGGTGTGGTATGAAGTCATAAACAAGAGTTATCTCCCTTCTCAATAATCAGGAAAAGACAACTCATTAAAAATCAATATGAAATATTTCGCAACTTGATGATAGTTTGAATATAAAGAGAATGTGATAAATTTCAACTTGTCAGGTGACATTGCTTTCAAAATATAGTTTAACCTGTAGTTTGACAAGCTGCTATTCTCTTGGCGTTAGCCTATAGGTTAAAACAGTAGTAAATTACATAATCAATAACTACGGAATTGACCTATGAAGACTAGGCTACGACTACAGTTAAATAATCAATCAATTTTTGGTTTACAACATAGCATCAGTGCTGGAAAATACTTATTTTGAAATAGGTGAGAATAGTTATAGTGCTAGTGCCAACAAGTCTTATACCTCCTTTTTGTTAATTTAGTGATTCATCAACTGGTCCTAGGTTGCTGTCACCTCATTGTAAAGAGACAGGTTCCCATTTTCAGGGATTGATTTGGGTCTTGAATACTGGTACTCCCCGGTAGGCAAATAGTCTTCAAAAGTACTGAAAATTACACAATTCGTTCAAAACTATCTTAAACTTGGAATTTCACTATCTATTTCTATATAGTTTTAAGGCTTTTCTGTACATAGGCTATTTCAGAATCTCAAGAAAAGACAAGTCAAATTCTGCATATGGATTTGAAGGCTCAAACACAATTACTGTCTTTTTTCATTTTTACTTGCAGGTATGAAGGATAGTAGTGTAAAGTAGAAGCCATGGGAAATTCAAATCATAAGAAAAGTAGGCCTGAGTCTAAAACTAAAGAAGAGAACCAACCATCTATTAACTGGCCCCCTATTCCGCCACTAAAATATACCAAGGTATGGGATCTGCTTTATTCTGGAGATGCCAGACATTGGGATACAGTTGCAGGTACGTAAGTTTGCAACCCCCTCCCTCCTTTATAGTGAGTGTCTACTTGTATAGCCCCTTTCCATTTTCTCCATGATATTCACATTTTGCCCTTTCCTTATTTTATTGCCCCTTGCCCATTTCCCATATTGCCTCATCCCCAATTCACCCTTGTTTCGCCCATTCCCTTATGCCTCTTGCACCTTCACCCTTAAATAATTGGTACTTTCCTATGGATAGAATTCCCCTACCCCATAAACTGAAGTATTTCGTGGAATCACTGTGTACGGAAGTGATAATAATTTTTTCTAATTTATTCTGCTATTTACAGGTGTGTATGGGCTAGATAAGTATATCTATAAGTGCGATGGTCGACACTGTGAACGAGAGATGGTTTGTACCAATTCGATTTGTCCAATTTTAAGAATGAACAACAGAATCATAGATATTGAAAGGTACACATGTTCATTGCATCTTTTATATTTGCAATATCATACTGTTCTGTATCTTATTGAGCTAATGAAATGTCCACTGTTCTGTATCTAATTGGGCTAATGAAATGAAATTGAGTTTTATATCCTACTGTCCTGTATCTTATTTGGCCAATGAAATATACTGTTTTGTATCTTATTGGACTAATGAAATGAAATTAAGTTTTATACCCTACTGTTCTGTATCTTATTGGCCTCATGAAATGAAACAGAGCTTTATATCCTACTGTTCTTTATTTGGTATTTAAGGTTTGTCAACTCAACAACCCTTTTTGAGAGTCTACAAAGCTAAAACTGTATATTTATATTTGGTATATTTCAAAGTTATGCTAATTATCCATTCGATTAATCTATTTTTAGTTACAGAAAGGGGAGAGTATCCATACCAATGCCAAAAGAGTTAAAGGAATATTTATGTAAGGATTTCTGCTTGTATGCTCGTGTGTTGGCCAACAGGGCAAACCTAGTTCTTCTTGCCTTCTTCTGGTTTACAGAGCACAAACAAGTTGTCTTTCCTTTGTTGGATATGGACAAGAAATGTGGAGTGAACGTGATCCGTTTTGTAACCGAGGCTGTAACCATGGTTCATTGTGAGATCTCGCCTGATTTGGCATATACCATTATCCTTTCGCTTGCGAATTATGAGAATAAATTCTGCTATAAGTTAGATTTGTACGAAAACAAAACTATGCAAGTTATTAAAACATTCGTATTAAATCATGAAGTTCAGCCGTACGTTGCCATGGATCCTCGTCATGGCTGGTCACAAGTTGCCGTAGCCAATTATAAATCAGTCGAGGAAGGAATTCGACACGAGCTTGTGATATTTTCATTGGATACGGGTAAAGCTGTAAAGAGGAGTAATCTGTCCTTGCCTTCGTTACTTGGAGGGACGCATTTTAATTTGTTGTACAATTTAGATGGGTCGCTGCTCATTCTGCAAAAAATAGCAGAAGATCGTTTTGGAGTCACAACTAATTCTGGCATTTATCTCTTCAACTCCGACCATTTACAATTATTGAAATACTTTTTTGTGACCCTACCAGGATTATTTCGCATCTGCCGTGCTATTTACGAACCAAAGTTTTCAAAATGTGGAAGCTTGATGCGTATATTGGATTTCAAACCTGTCCGTGAGGATCGCGAAGTTACAGTGAATATTTATCAGTTACCACGGCAACTTGATTTATCTAGTCATTGTCGTGTGGTTATTTTACAAAATCTGAGATCTGAAGATTTTGTGGAAGATTTGCCGTTACCCAATCAACTGAAATATTATTTAAAATTTAAACCAATTTGGCAATAATTATATTGATTATTTTTTGGCTAATTGGTGATCTTGATTAAGTGCTAAAACATTTTTTTAATGACTTTTTCTAATCTTATAGTATAGAGAGGAATTCGTGCCAAAAGTATTCGCAAAGTAAAACTTGAAAACCAGTGGAAAATATGACTTTGTAAAGTCAAGGCCTTGTTTTCAAGTTTGACTTTGTGAATACTTTTGGCAAGGATTCCCCTCCATAATAGTATTTGCAATTATTGATTAATTTATAAAGAATTTGTTACCTGAATGAATGCTTTTTATATTAATATTTGTTTGTTATATGTGCAAATCACTCTACAATTGATATATTGAGCACAATTTTAACAGTGGTGTTTCTATATCACTCTACAGTCGATGTATTGAACACTATTTTAACAGTGGTATTTCTATATCGCTCTACAATTGATGTACTGAGTACTATTTTAACAGTGGTATTTCTATATCACTCTACATTTGATGTATTGAACACTATTTTAACAGTGGTATTTCTATATCACTCTACAATTGGTGTATTGAGTACTATTTTAACAGTGGTATTTCTATATCACTCTACAATTGATGTATTGAGCACTATTTTAACAGTGGTATTTCTATATCACTCTACAGTCGATGTATTGAACACTATTTTAACAGTGGTATTTCTATATCGCTCTACAATTGATGTACTGAGTACTATTTTAACAGTGGTATTTCTATATCACTCTACATTTGATGTATTGAACACTATTTTAACAGTGGTATTTCTATATCACTCTACAATTGGTGTATTGAGTACTATTTTAACAGTGGTATTTCTATATCACTCTACAATTGATGTATTGAGCACTATTTTAACAGTGGTATTTCTATATCACTCTACAGTCGATGTATTGAACACTATTTTAACAGTGGTATTTCTATATCACTCTACAGTCGATGTATTGAGTACTATTTTAACAGTGGTATTTCTATATCACTCTACAATTGATGTATTGAGTACTATTTTAACAGTGGTATTTCTATATCACTCTACAATTGATGTATTGAGCACTATTTTAACAGTAGTATTTATATATCGCTCTATAACTGATGTATTGAGCACTATTTTAACAGTGGTATTTCTATATCACTCTACAATTGATGTATTGAGTACTATTTTAACAGTGGTATTTCTATATCACTCTACAATTGGTGTATTGAGTACTATTTTAACAGTAGTATTTCTATATCGCTCTACAATTGATGTATTGAGCACTATTTAACAGTTGTATTTCTATATCGTTCTGCAATTGATGTATTGAGTTAAATATTTTGTTATATCTATTAAAACTAAAAAAAATTTGTTATATCATAAGCTTTTGTTCTAATATTTCCATAGTATCCATGTCCTTTCTTATTTCTTTGGACATATTTCAGCCACCACTGACCTGACAATCAGCAATTCAGGTCTTGGTTTGCAGTCTAAAATAACTAATGTAGTTTGAAAGGTTGACACTGCCACTGATAAAGGGTTAAATTCATAGCTTCATCTTCCAAGGCAAATGGAAGACAGACCCTCCAAAACTGAATCCAAAACAATCCAAAAAGATGGAATGAAACCTAAATTCAAAGCCGCTCCCTTCAACAAATGACAAAGATGTGAAGGTCATTCCATCATGAATATGTCATCTCCATAATTCTTAGACTTTCAGAAGAGCTCAAAATTTGGTATAATAATCCAAAATGCAAACAAAATTTTGCAAAACATTTGCACCTTTCACATAAGGAAGTATATCAAGCGTAGGCTAAATATTTCATAATGAAAATCAATATTAGGTGTCTAGAAGAGAAAGCATACCTTGCAACCTTCAAAAAAAGAAATTAGCATTTAATGACCATAATACTTAAGAATTTTTTGGAAATTTCGGTTACTCTTCATAATTTGGCAACAGTTCAATAATATATTTTACTTTCGGTTTGTTGACATTCCTACCACTTTCACTTTATCAATTCATTTTCAGCTAATGAGCGTTGAGGATTTCTTCACCTCGTGTATGTTCAAAGTTGAGTACAACCCGGAAGTTAGAGTAATTTCTAAAGTATTTAGAAGTAAAAACTGTCAAATTAACCAAGATTTATGATGTTTCAGTGACCGATTTGTTTTAATAATTACCAGGCATTAAATTTGACGGAATCAGGTAAATTTGACTTTTGATCATTTACTTTTTTGGCTCAGATTTAGTTCCAAAAAATCCAGCTTTCGTGACCCAGTTTGTTTTGGTTTGTTCAATGGACGTGGGTACATCATGAATCATTCAGTGGATTATGGACTCATTTCCTGTAAAGTCCTAAATCCACAGATTGCTAGTAGAAGATGGGTGACTATTGTCATTTTCAGGAAAGATTTTACATTGATTCCTTAATCTAAAACAATCCTGGATATTTGAAGCAACCAAACAGGTGCTCCTTTTTTTCTCAATTTTTGTATCGGACAGATCTTGTATTATTAACTTCTAAGAAATGTGTCACCTGTCCTGTAGGACAACTTTCTTCAAAATAGAACTTTGATGCTCAGGCTGTAGAGAATCCATGTAAAATGTTTCTTAAACTATAAGTTTGATTATTAAAAGTTACATATGGACATGGGTTTTGGGATAGCCTACTTATTGGAAGTTGAAAGAAAAGATCCATGACAATATTCTTACAAGGGAATGAAGTGAATTAAATATTTGCTTTACCAGCTGTTGAGGTTCAATTAGGATTTAGATCAGGCTAATTTAAGTGTTTTTTTTTTGTGAATTTAGAAAATTGCTTTCAGTCTCTCAGTTGGAAATTGAACAAGAGTAGACCTAGGCTTCTGTCCTTGCAAAATTTCCCTCATTGAACACTGTATAGCCCAATTGAAGGAGAAAAGTAAGATAGAAATCTCCATAATATTCAATTTTAGGCTATGATATCCAAAAGATCTGTATTTAGATCTACTGGAGGGTTATGAATGACTGTGTGACCTTTGACACTGTGATTATTACTAATTAGTTGTAGGCAGTGTGTCAGTAGTGAGTAGGCTAATTACAGAGATTAAGCTCAAAGATAGCAATAAGAGATCACTGTTTATATTTGGGGACCATACTTGCTCAGTCAATGAGTCACTTGCTTTCAAACTCGAAAGTCCAAGGTTTGAATCTGCCATAGGTTGAGATAATGGCAGTGTGTCAGTAGTGAGTAGGCTAATTACAGAGATAATAAATATTATCTATTGTAGATCACTGTTTATATGTTGGGGCCACGGTTGCTCAGTGAGTGATTCACTTGCTTGCTGACTTAAAGGTCCAAGGTTTGAATGTGCCATTGGTTGAGATAATATCTTTGGATTTTTCAATCCAGGGTCCCATTGTCAGTGATGCAGATCGGAAGGGGCTGACGTGGAAAAGCATTTAGTCATTTGAATTGGTCAATAAACTGAAGACTTGTTTGATGCAGTCCGGCCACGTATCTTGACAGTTGGAAATAAAAAAAAGAGTAGGCCTAGGCTATTATTCCGCTGCAATCTGAAATCCAGAGTCCCTACTTGTGACCTCCTAGTGCTTCTTTAAGAGAGTATCTGTTAAAATATATTATACCGCTGTCTTGACAAATTTACCCTCATTGCACATTGTAAGGGGAACACTAGGAGAAAATAATTCTTGATTTTTAAACTAGATGTACGGGTACTGACTTTATTCAGGAAGTGAAGAGAACTATGTTAAACTAATTACCAGTACTTCACCAGTCAAATAAACAGATTTATTCAGATATTTCCTCTTATATCATAGCATAGAAAACAGGGATGCTGATTTGGTTGTATTTGCCAGCCAGTTTTGAGCATTATAGGAATTGTATAGAGGTTTATAGACTTTTGATTCTTTGGGGCTTTCTTATGGCTTGTATTTGCATCATTGCAATTTTTAGTCAGATGTCTGTGGTTCCTGTCATTATAGAAACAGGGCTGCTGATTTGGTTGTATTTGCCAGCCAGTTTAAAAGCATCAAAGGTATTATAAGAACCATAGATGTCTGAAAATTGGAAGGGTACCAGTACAAATGGATGCTATCAGTGGCTCTGTTTTTCAGGCCCCAGTATATGCTATAACAATTGCTTGGTTTTGTCTAAATAAAATGAGCTAATATATAATAATAATAATATATCAAATGTAGAGCGATATAGAAATATTAAAACAGAACCTAAAAAAAAATTTTGACTTAGCCTAGCTTTGTATATAATATTATTAGATAAGTATAATTTTGTATAGTTTTTTAATGATATTTCGTCTAAAATCAGAATCACTTGAAGTGCTATAGGAAAATGATAAGTAGAGCTATTGTTTTTGAAGTTCTACTTAAATGATAATACAGTTTCCTGGTTTACATTTAACTATTCAATAGGAAATATTTCTACTTTCATTTTGTATAGGAAGTTTGAGTGAGATCTACCAGCACATGGAGTAAAAGATGGATTAGCATTTGCTTCCATGCATTTTGGATGTTCAAGTGAAGCAAGATTGTCTAATGTTTATAAATATTCTTACTTTTATTTTGCACATGGAGTTAAAAAGGGTTTAATATTTTTTAACTATGTTACATCTTTGCACTGATCATTGAAATAAATTTGGAAGTCATTTGCCTCCATGCATTTTGGATGTTTTGTCCGGCAGAATTGTAGATCTTATGTGATTGAAAATTTACAAATATTTTTACTTTCATTTTGCACATGGAGAAAAAGAAGGTTTAGTGTTTTTGAACCATGACACATCCTTTTGTGAGTCATTTGTACAACAAATTTTTATAATATTTTGGCTTATGCAGATATCATCAGTAATCTTAAAGGGATTGTAAGAAGGTTTTCTAAATTTTTTATGTTTATCTGAGACACTGATGGCATCAATTTGCACCATTCCAATTTTCATTCTGACGTCTGTGGGTCCTGCAATTATACTAAAACTATGTGTTTGATAACATCATTAATCATGAAGGGTTTTAAGTATGTGGTAAAGCAAATTCCGCGATTAGTGACATCATCAAATACTTAGTTTAAGTGGAAGTGCAGGAACCACAGACGTCTCACTGAAAATAGGAATGGTGCAATTGGATGCTATCAATGTTCCCAATATGTTTAAAAAATTTAGAAAACCTCATTACAATCCCTTTAATCTTTTCAATTCTAAAAGACTGAATTGCTTGATGATTATTTTAGATATTTCCTGATCTGCCTTTCAATGAGGGTCAATATTATCAAAGCACATGTACAAAATGGTTGTTTCTTCTCTTTTTTTCTTTCCGTTATAAAATTATTCATAGTAAAAGTGTATTTAGGTTATGATAAAATTATTTAAACCTGGTGAGGAGAATTAAATTCAATATATTATTGATTTATAGAGTCGACATTGTTAAATAGGACATAGAATTTCTCATAACTTTTATAGATACTTAAAACATAGGATAACAGGTTAGTTAAAACATAGGATAACAGGATAGTTAAAACATAGGATAACAGGTTAGTTAAAACATAGGATAACAGGATAGTTAAAACATAGGATACCAGGTTAGTTAAAACATAGGATAACTGGATAGTTAAAACATAGGATAATAGGATAGTTAAAACATAGGATAACAGGATAGTTAAAACATAGGATACCAGGTTAGTTAAAACATAGGATAACAGGATGGATAACAGGTTAGTTAAAACATAGGATAACAGGATAGTTAAAACATAGGATAACAGGATAGTTAAAACATAGGACAACAGGATGGATAACAGGTTAGTTAAAACATAGGAGAACAGAATGGTAAAAACATTGAGCTAGTGGGATTGAATAAGGAGGCATTAAGGACATCAAGGTGACTATTTTAAGCAGTGACGCAATGCTATCTTGTTATTGTTTGCGTTATAAGCGAGGTTCTGGATGTGTGAATACGATTGGAAGTCATAATAATGGATTAAAGTATACAAAAGGTTATCACTCCCAGGATCAAACTCGGAAACTCCTCATAGTATTGGTAATATCTGCAGAATGTCGAATACAGTCTGAAAATGACGTCACTATTAATTTCCAGATTTTTATTGAATTGTAGTTGAACTGAAAGTCAATCTTTTATTCTGAAAAGGGATATAGATAGCTGAAATTGATCTCTATCAGGTGGTTAAGCAAATATTTAGACAGCTTTATCTCCCTATTATAAGATAAAGGACAAATTAAATGGGGAAAGCAACGAATGTGGAGTGCCCTGGGGATATCAACACCCCAACCTGAACCCCCAGGGATGTTATAATTCTATTTTCATATAGTTAATTAAGATTACCTGTAATCTCACCTGGATGACCTGGGTAGATAAAGGTCAAAGGTGACATTTAATTTTTGACCAGGCTTGGCTAGCTGAAGTATTCTGCAGCTAAGTTAAAAATAAAAAATATAAAAATGAAGGATAATTCAGGAAATATCAATGATAAGTAGTATATTTTAATGATAATTAAAGAAATATAACTAAATCACCAAACGAGTTCAAATTTAGTTAGATGTGGTCATCAAATTTTCAATGGTTAACAAACTGTCAAGTATTTTTATGACGAAAGTATCCAATATTTGAAGTCCATTTCATTACGAAAACTGACAGATAGGCGAGGCTAAACGAAAAATTTGTAACAAAAGTAAAAACTTTATATTTATCAGTAAAAATAGCCTGGTGTTAGATGGTTAGGTGATGAAAACTTAGTCTCATGAAAGCACTGGCCTAGGTCACAAAGTAAAGATTTATGATAAAACAAGGTTTATGTTATAGATACCTAGATATGTTAACTATGGATGTGCCTGGTGATTTAGTGTCACTGCAGGAGTTATGTCACACTTTGTTGGTGAAAATATGATTTCTAAAACCGTAGTATGTCCATTTCATAACTGAAACTGGACAGACAGGCGAGGCTATGTGGGATATTTGTAACAAGAAGATAAAAAGTAAATATTTGTCAGTAAAAATAGTCTAGTGTCACTGGTGTGCAACATTATGTCACAGTGAACTAATAATTGCTAAGAATTTCTAAGACTAAAGTCTGGAGAAACTGGTCGAAGAGGCAGGCTATATAGAATATTTGTAACAAGAAGATAAAAAGTAAATATCAGTAAAAATAGCCAAGTCTTCTCGGTGATGATATACCCACAGTGTAAAGTTACATCATATTGGTTTAGTAAAAAAAGATGTTAACACCTGGACTAGTGTTGACATCATAGTCTCCCACACCTGTAGTGGCGATTTCAGTAACATAAACATCTTTACTAAGGCCATTTTCGGGGGATGGTTTGAGTTTTGGAAATATGTAAATAGTCTACAGAAGTACTAGAAATGCACAAAAATCATATAATTTCTTCAAATATACCTCAAAGTAAAAACTTTACTTTCTAAATCTATTTACCGGTATATCTTTACTGTTTATGGTGAAGTATCAAGAAAATACAAGAGCAGAGAGTTGTTATATAGGGGAAAGCCTGTTTCCAAATCCTTTTCATAATAATGTTTAGAAAAAAAAGGAAAAGATGTGTTGTTATTTTAACTGTTTATTATAATGCTGTACTAGACACATTTATTTGAAGGCTCAAATTTCAGCAGTGAGTTGTTAACACTATTACTTTTGTAGCATATTCTACATTCTTTAAGTTGTGTAAAATTTGTAGTTACTATTGAATGTGAATAACAGTCCTATACATATAGTAAAATAGTTTTGATTGACACGTCATAATAACTGTGGTTGTCACAACTTGGCATATAACTGTCATCTCTCTATTATGTTCATATATAGTTCTATGTGAAGCTTGGAGTTAGATTAATGAAGGACAGGGCTGTTAATTTGGCTGTATCTACCAGTCATGTCTAATTCGACTTCTAAGCTATTGAATTAACTATATTTACCAGTTATGTCTGACTAGAGCTAAAAATTCTAGTCATGTCTGACAAGAGCTATAAATTCTAGTCATGTCTGACTAGAGCTATAAATACTAGTCATGTCTGACTAGAGCTATAAATTCTAGTCATGTCTGACAAGAGCTATAAATTCTAGTCATGTCTGACTAGAGCTATAAATACTAGTCATGTCTGACTAGAGCTATAAATTCTAGTCATGTCTGACAAGAGCTATAAATTCTAGTCATGTCTGACTAGAGCTATAAATACTAGTCATGTCTGACTAGAGCTCTAGGTTGTTAATTTGACTGTATTTACCGGTCATGTCTGACTAGATCTCTAGATTTCTAATTTAGCTAAATTTACCAGTCATGCCTGACTAGAGCTCTAAACTGTTGATTTGTCTATATTTACCAGTTTTACCAGCTATGTTTTACTAGATCTCTGGCCTTCCAGTTTGGCTGAATTTACCAGTCATGTCTGATTAGAGCTTTAGATGGTTGAGTTCACTGTATATTCCATGATTTCTGATTAGCTTTGTAGACCTACTGATCTTATCCCTTTTTTTTTGTAATTTCAGGTTATGAAGATAACTTAAATTTGGTTCAGACTTGACAGCAGGAATTTTATGGATATAATGGTGAATAGTACGTGACAGAAAGCTCAAGAATGGCATCAAATGTTCCTGAGGGTGAGATGGAATCATCTACTCCTCCTTCATTACCTCCCAAAATTAAACAATCTTCTGTAAAAGAAAGCAAGGACTTTCTGTCTAGTAGCATAGAGAATGTTAGCCCAAAACCAATTCCCAAACCACGCTCGAAACCTTCCATGAAACAATCACCAATTGTCAGTCCAACAAAACCACGACCTACACCAAGGTCAAGGACTAGTGCCACATCAATAGGAAGTGCATCCACTACAGATCTTAGTTGTCTGGATTTAAGCGCAAGTTCTGATTTAAATTCAGAGGTTTTGAGTGCAAGTGTGGAGCTTGAGTCATCCGTTTACGATAATCCCAAATCGGAAACAGTCAAGGAGGCTATTTATGCAAATGAAGGAGGTCAACATAATCCGTTAGAAACTGATATCGATAGTGATAAGGTGTACGAAAATACACCTTTCAAGCAAACAAATTCTGTGTATTCAAACGTGCCTTCTGCTGAACCCAGTTCAAACGTGCCTTCTGCTGAACCTAGTTCAAACCTACCTTCTGCTGAACCTAGTTCAAACCTACCTTCTGCTGAACCCTCTGAGGCTATCTATGCAAATGAACCAAATGACATTCCAAATACTGAAAATTCAAAACCACAGCCTTATACTGAAAGGTTTTCATTGCCGATGTACTTAAACAATTCCGAGTCGACAAGTGGATCAACCTTAAGGTCATCGGAAGCAATTTCTGTAAGGTCATCAATCTCAAGGACGTCAGGGGTTTATAATGTCGAAGAGCAGGAACGAATATATTTAAATCAGACGTCTGAATATTTTAGCTCAACTGATATTCCTAATGAAAAGCATGACACTGGTTCAAGCTCAGCCTATTTATTTGATAATGATGTGCCGGTTCCGAAGCCTTGCTCACAACCTGGGAGTGATGTCGAACGCTCAAGACAGTCTTCCACAGACATTTTCCCCTTCTCACCGCCAATCACTTATGCAAATGAGAGTCCAGATGTGACATCTTTAAAATTTGAGAATACCTTTGACCTCAAACCAGAAAGACTTTCAGATTTTTTGAAAAGTGTCAAGGAAGAGCATGAAATTCAAACTACTACTGGTACTACAAGAACAACTTCTGATGAAATTGATGCACTTACCAGAAAAATGGAAAAGATTGGAAGTGATGAGCAAAGATTATCGTTAGATTTGAATAAGCAGACGTTATCTGTCAATCGTCCTGACCAGAGTTTATCTATGTACATCAATTCTCTCGGCTCCAGCTTCCCAGACGCAGACGACTTCGAAAACATGATCGATTCAAATCTGGAAAAGAAAAAAGAGGCCAGAACAAAAGAGACTGTCAGAAATAAACAATCAGAAAACACGAGCGTGAGAAGAGAAAAGCATCCCTTCAAACGATCTGACGCAATTTCAGATAACTCCCAAGATGCAATTTCTCCGTCCGCTTCCATCAGAGAGCCAATCATAACTGCTGAAACATCTGATAGATTTTCCGTCAATACAGAAGAGGTGATTTATGAAGCTATCTGGGTGGCGAAAACACAAGAAAAAGAATCTCGGGATAAACGCGAGAGTTCTACAGATGATGTAATTGACGACAGTCTGATGTCATTTTCACCCAATCGCGACTCCCCGCTGACCTTGGAATTCGTCCCGAACAAAACCACAGTATCTGATATGGATGTGCCTAAAATTCCAGAAAAACCAAAGGCAACCCCTGAAATCTGGGGAGAATATGCATATCTTGATCCAAATGCTGTATATGTGACCCCACCCCCTCATTTTCCACCTCCCCCTCTTCCAAATAGATCCAGCATGCCAACTGCAGAGCCTCCGCCATTACCAAATGTTCCAGCGCCTTTGACATCATCTCAAGAAATATTCAATGCACCCCCTGTTCCACCAAGACTTTTACATGAAATAAACAAAGGATCGAAATCGTCCAGTCCTGTTCCTTGTGGAAACTCATCCAGCCCACAGCTAACTCCTAGCAGACCTGCTCCAGGTGTGCCAAGATCTGTCAAATCGAGAAGCCCGGTTCCAGAGCCTGTGAACATACCAGATAACATCAATGCCAAATATAGACCAGAGACACCAGATTCAAAACTCAAACCAACGTTAACTGAATCCAGTGACGAACCAACATCTTACGTTGGTCATGATCCTGTAGAGCGACAAGACTCTGATGTGTTCAAAGGATTTCAAACCCCGAAAATGGAATTGTTTCAAGATGATCCTTTCAAATATTCTGATTTTGCCACTGTTTGTGAAAATTTCAATAGGCCTTCTGGTTCAACAACTGAACAAAGTTTAACAAAGGAATTAGCATCTTGGGATCCGTTTGGTACAAATTCTACTTCTGAATCGTCTGCCTCCTATGACGAGAAGTCGAAATTTGATCCATTTGGATTGGACAGTGATAATGTTTCTGACCAATCAGCATCCAGTGACTGGTTCAATCGAATATCATTAAGTAATGTCCCGCCTCCACCTGCATCTAAAAGAGGTACTCCAAAGAATTTGGGGTCAGAATTCGCCGAAGCTTCTAAAACTCTGGAAAGCACAGGTGAGTTCACTGTTTCTAGGCCTTCTTAGCCCTCTTAGTAAGCTAATGAATTCAGATTTGGAGTTAAGAGAAAATTGTGCAACTTTTGAAAAGAAATTATTTAGAAAAATATGAACGAATATTGGCTTTACTTACCAGTAAACATAAATAATTTAACCTAGGCCAGTGCTTCTGGTATAAGTATTTCTTTTAACACACTTTACCAATACTTAAGTACAGATCCACAACTAACAGTTGAATGACTCTGATGAGGAAACAATGTGCGTTTTCGGCTCCCAACATTTGAACAAAAAACTGCTATAACCTCATACCTCTCCACCCTGCATTCATTTGGAAACAAAACCTTCCTTCATCAATCCACTTCTCTTTGACCCATTAATCACAGAACTGTTGAACTCCATTTATATGTCCTCCTTCCCTTTGACTGTTGCTATGCCAATACAAGGGACACAACTCAAATCATACTAATCGATATCCAAAAATTATCTGAATTAAAATGTTGGCAAAGTGTTGAAAAAGGGCTGATTGCCAGAGTTTAACAATGGATATTTTGTCAGATTTGATCTCAACAGGGAAGGAAGGGGTAGACATCTTGGATTTTGATAATCTTAGCACAAGATGGCTAAAAGTCGTGCATTTGGATTTACTCTGGATAGCGTTATTAGACGTAGATTTTATGCAAGACGAGGCGGTGGTAAATATAGTTTGGTTCTTCATTTAAATTTTAATAAGAAAACTTTTGAAGCATTGCAGATATTAATGTCAAATATGTATTTTGTTTTTTTTTATATTATATTCTTTGTTTATGTTTTCATTTCACTCATTTCATTCATCCATTTGTTTGTCTTATTTTCTTTCTTTCATTCATTTATTCATTATTATATTCATTCATTCATTCATTCATTCTTGCATTCTTTCTTTATTACATTCATTCATTCATTCATTTATTCTTGATGATATTCTTTCATGCTCAAATTCATTTATTCATTCATTTCATTCATTCATCTTCTTAATTTTTTTCTTTCATTCATTCATTCTTCAGTTGCTACCCTATCAGAGTCTAAATCAAACCTCTGTTATAATGTTAATTAGTATCAAAATACAGATTGAAAACCAAGGCAGATTGCCCATAAAATCTTAATTAGAGCTCAAGTTGGAAATGACTGGCAGATATGACATATGAATCAAGAATCCTCAAGCTTTCCATCATTAATGCCCCTAAGCATAGTCTTTAAACAAACGTTCCGAACTCGTTTTAAAATGTAAACACAAGAATAATTTCTTGACCAATTTCAGTAGGGACAAAGGCTGAAAATAGATCAGTAGTGTGATTCTTGTTTCAATTGCTCTATATTCTACCTAAAGATATACTTCACTGCATGTGTATGTTTTGAATATAATGCGGAAATATCTTCTGAATATTGTTTAGATTTGTGTTTATGTTTTAATGAGAAAAAACAATTAGACACTGAGTGCAAATTAATTAATTGTCAAATTTTAATTATTTAATTACCGGTGTTATATTTCATCTTGAATGTTAATATGTCATAATGGTTTTAACAAATCCTGTTGTACTTGTCTGGAGAAATGGTGGGAATTTTCAACAATTTCTTGGAATTTGAGTGTCAGTTTATGAGGTTTTTATTTGGTATTTTACCCCAAAATCTATATCTCAGAGAGATGTTTTTAAATTACATGGAGAGGGAGATGTAGTCTTTAATGCTTTACTGTGATTTTGAATCTTTTCCGGAGAATATTGGTGTGTTTTCAAAGGACAAGTTTCTTTTAACTTCAGTATATTTTGGAATATATTATGTGTGTGCTGTATTTTCAGTGAGTAAGAAAAGAGAAAAGTTTATATTGTGGTTTTGGGGATTTCTTTATTCTGTTCCTTTCCATTGCTTTGCAAGTCTTTTTTTGGGGATTTCCGGTAAAATAAGTAGTAATAATTAAGATAAACTTGATATTGTGTTCATAATTAAAAGAGAATGTAAAGAGGTTTACTAAATTTTTTATATGTATCAGGGACACTGATATTATCAACGTGCACCATTCCAATTTTCAACCAGACGTCTGTGGTTCCTGAAAATCCATTTAAACTGCATATTTAATGATGTCACAAATCAGGTACGGCCTTATGTGATACAAGCATATTTTGCAATTTGTGACAGCATCAGACACTTAACTTTAGTGGAATTGCAGGAACCACAGACATCTAAATGAAAATTGGAATGGTGGAAATTGATGCTTTCAGTTTCATCGATACACATAAAGAACTTAAAAACCTCTTTACAATCTCTTTAAGTTATTCTACCTGAAAAATAAGTCGCCTGCTCGTGTTCATGTTTTCAATTGCACCTGAATGTGTGTAATATCTAGACTGGACAGAATATTCTATTAACCCAAGTTGTCTATCTTATCTTACTATACCTACCATGCCACGTTCTTATCAGATTTTAACGTGTTATCAACTAGATTTATTATCCTTAAAGTTCAGCTTTGATAACACGGCATGGAGGAAATTAAAATCAAAATTAAGAATTGTTAAAGCACATTCAAAATGAGAAATTCAGACATTAGAAAATGAGAGAAATTTTATGAGCTAGTTTAGTGATAAGGATAATTATTTGGTGATAAATGATGTATGGAACAGTGGAGCCTCTGTGAATTAATAGTTGAGGAGCCTGGGTAGGGAATACAGAATGGTTAAGGGAGACTAATAAACATCTCCAGGGGGAATTTCAAACTCAGTAGTTTAACAACAGGTGAATGTGATAGAGTATTTTTGAAGGTATATGCCAGTAATTCTCAGAATATCTCTTTGTCAGTAAAATTTGATCATGGGCTTTTGAGATGATGTTTAACATAAGTTTCAGAATTTCAGAATTTGGACTGAAGGTTTGGACATGAGATAGAAGTTATTTTTTACACAGAAAATCCATTTTTATATTGAAGCAATATTGAGGAATGTGGCCTAAAATTACAATATTCTGGCAGGAAACGTTTTTCTTTGTAAAATGTAATCATACTTGAAAAATTTCCCCTCCTGCAGCTGACCTCCCCTAGAATGGATTTTCGAAAAATTTTGGCAGTGGACCCTCTCAATTGAAAGTTCTGCAGCTGCCATTGATATACTTGTAATCATTTCTACTGTCTGGTAATCCTAGAATGGATACCATACCTGGTGCCTCAAGTTTTAGCAAAAAAAATAAAAAGAAATTACTGTATATGTGAGAATATTGATCTATTAAAGATTATATTAGTAATGTTATAAGATTACTAGTTAATAATATAAATATATGATATAGATACTAAGCAGGAAGTTATATGACAATTTACCTGTGATTACATTTTACTAGGCAGGTAAAAATACATGTTTGTTATAGCCTTATATTAAAGAGACAGTTCGTAGTTTATGTAGATCTATTTTCTTTTGTTTATGGTCTTTGTATATTCAGTTTTAGACTTGCATCTAATTAAAGGGATTGTAAAGCGGTTGCAATTTTTGTATGTGTATCAGGGACACTGATAGCATTGAATTGCACCATTTCAATTTTCAATCAGATGTCTGGGGTTCCTGCAATTTCTCTAAAACTAAGAACGATATGATGTAGCCAGGGCAAAGCCTTAAGGTTATCAACAGCCTCTATGTTAGTGATGCCATAAAGCACTTAGTTTTTGTGGAATTGCAAGACTCACCTACGTCTGACTGAATTTTATAATGATACAAATCTATCTATATACACATAGATGTCAGATTAATTGGTTTCATGTTTATTCTACGGGCAAGTGGATTTACCAGTCAAAAAATGGCATTCAGAAAAATTGAAACAGTAAATTTGACGTGCATGTGAATGAGAGTGGTATCTTTAAATAGAAAGTGACAAGAGTGCACTATGAATTATCTATTGTGTTTTACAATATTATTATTGTGCACAGGGCAAGTTGATATTGTATGGATAGTGTTAGAGAAGACATTGTGTGAATTCAGAAAGAAAATTCATTTCTGCATGTTGGAATTCATACCTGAGGATTTGTTGTTCTTTTGGTATGATTTGAAGGAACTGTGTTTATATTTTTCCGTATGATTTGAAGTATCTCTTATTGTATTTCCGTATGATTTGAAGGATCTTTTGTTGTATTTCCGTATGATTTGAAGGATCTTTTGTTGTATTTTGGTATGATTTTAAGATCTTTTGTTGTATTTTCGTATGATTTTAAGTATCTTTTGTTGTATTTTCGTATGATTTTAAGTATCTTTTGTTGTATTTTGGTATGATTTGAGGTATCTTTTGTTGTATTTTGGTATGATTTTTAGAGATATACTGTGTTCAAATGTATATTGAAAAATTCCAGAAAGAGCTAGACCGCTAATAAACATTTTATAAAGACGCTTATGTTTTCTGTTGAAATTTGGCAATTCTTTGAACTTGAGAAAATTCTCGTGCAGGATAAGTGAAAAACTGTTCAAAATAACTTAGCTTAAAGACAATATTTCTTACTGGATAACTCCTATGTTAAAAGAGTAAATGATAGAGACTATTGATGTTCTACCTACTGTAAATGGATTATTGTGAAGAAGACCTAGTAATCATGTCTACATCCAGTGATGGAAGTGATACCTGTAGTTCGTTTCTATCATCAGGTAAAGATGAAATTTACAATGGCTGATCAGAAACGCATGACATAAGATTCATTTTTATTTCAAAATGGCTGGTTAGAAAAACTTGTTTAATTCCATTTCATTTCATTTTACAATGGCTGGTCAAAATCAAAGAATTTAAAAAGTCCTTTTGATTTCATAATTGCTGGTCAAAATCAAATGTTAAACTCCATTTCATTTCATTTGACATTGACATAAATGTCATACAACTCCATTTTATTACATTTTTATAAAAACTGCTTAAAAGCGAATGATTTTGAACTCCATTTCATTTCATTTAACAATGGTTCGTTAGAAATAAAGGACATACAATTCCATTTCATTTCATTTCATTTACAATTGTGAGGTTGAGAACCCAGGTTTTAAATGATTCCAGGTGTTCAGAAAAAGGAATTGATAAACTAGGTCCCTCATTGACCGTAAATTACAGTTATTACTATTGTTCAGGAAGGATTGTGGCTGAACTTGTACTAATTTTGAGAGAATTAAATTTCAAGTGTCAAAACTATCAGAGGCCATACACAGCACCAATTATTTTTAATTTACCAGCTTAATTTTATCTATATTTCCTGTTTATATTATATTGTACCCTTAGATAAGGCAGTCGAAAAATAAAAATATGTAGGAGGGTCTTTTATTCTGTGAAAAATTGTAAAGATTATCAGCTTTTGGAACCTGCAGCCTGGTAATGTTCATTGTGTTCATATCATTTTTTTCATTGTGTTTAATACATTCCTTTATATTGTGTTCATATCATTTCATTTCATTCATACCTTTCACTGTGTTCATTTTATTGTGTTCATTTCATTGTGTTCATATCTTTCCTTCTTGTGTTCCAATCTTTTTTTATTCATTGTGTTCATTCATTAATTCATTCATTCATTCATTCATTCATTCATTCATTCATTCATTCATTCATTCATTCATTCATTCATTCATTCATCCATCCACTCATTCATTCATTCATTCATTCATTCATTCATTCATTCACTCATCCACTCATCCACTCATCCACTCATTCATTCATTCATTCTATATTATAGGAGATAGTGATTGCAGTGATACTGATTCAGAAGAGCCTTACAATACATCTCTACCCAGAGTTCCCCTAATTACTAGAAATCCTACGGTAGGTCAAATTTTTACCAACTTGTTTACCCCTGCCCCTATTCTTATTTAGAATATATAATTTTTTCAACCGGCACACCTCTTCAACCAATCTTTTTACCTTTTCTTAAATAACTTCTTTCTTGACTTTTCTTTTTCATCAATCTCTTAAAGTGATATTATAGTCAACAGAAATCCATACCCCTCATATTGCCCCTCCCCCATTCTCTCCCCATTTTGCCCCTCCCCCATTCTCTCCCCATATTGCCCCTCCCCCATTCTCTCCCCATATTGCCCCTCCCCCATTCTCTCCCCATTTTGCCCTTCCCCCATTCTCTCCCCATATTGCCCCTCCCCCATTCTCTCCTCATATTGCCCCTCCCCCATTCTCTCCCCATTTTGCCCCTCCCCAAATCTCTCCCCATATTGCCCCTCCCTCATTCTCTCCCCATATTGCCCCTCCCCCATTCTCTCCCCATATTGCCCCTCCCCACAGGCATAGACAACTTTTGAGCAAGACTCTACAAACACTTATATTACTTCCAATTCTTATGGAGGATTGGTTTAACAGCAGATAAACCTGTATCCAAATTAACAGATAACAGAATTCCAATTTTGACTTTTTGGACCTCTCCCCTACCTATTTCATATATTATATATAAACTTACTGATAATTGTTTGTAGGTTAACTATCTATTAGAAAAGGAAGGCAGTTTCGTTCTTGTTAGTACTTCGTTAATATAATTTGTAATGATACCTAGCCATTTAGAAAACCAACACGCTATATTACAGTCATTATGTAGACATTTTAAAATTTGAAAACATTGGAAGCACTGCTTGATTTAGTAATGATATTTGCCAAAATGTTGCATGGCACATTGACTACTTTAGCTTAGTTATAAGTACTTTCGAAAGCACTGGCTGTGGCATAAGGATTTGATTCAGACATGCTGAAATGAGTTAAACATGTTATAAATAGTAGCAACAATTCACAGCTTTAGGCTTTTTAGAAATTTAAAAATTTATGAAATGAATGTACAGTTAAATATTTAAGAAATGTAGAGACCATATATTAAATGATTCAGCTTTTAACGACCTTATTGTTAGGTCCATAATTAGTAAGCATATTAATTGATACTGGTGACCTTTGACCTCGTTAAAAATATCTTATGTCTCTATTACTAATTCATGATAAATCAATTTTGGAAATTTTTAAAGGTTCAAAGGTTTGGGGTGATTTGGTTAAAATTTCTAGTCATGTTTGAGTTGATTTATGAAAACTTTGCTTCATGATTTGAAATGTTGCAAGGCTTATTTTTAGATTTATTCAATTTAATTTGCCGGTCATGTCTAACTGGTTCTGAAAAATGATGCTTTCTTTGAGAAAATCTTTCAAGAAGTTTTTTATGAATTCACTAAAGTTGTCAGTGATATTATATCATTAGATTGTATTAACCAGTCATATCTGACTAGATCATCTTAAATGATATTTCATATTTTAAATCACTTGCTATAAAACTTCTACAATTTTTAAAATTAAAATAAAATTTGAAAATACTTACAATTTTAACTTTTTCCATGCCCAAAAAAACGAATTCAGCAATGCAATTTGTATAAAAATTGGGTCATCTTTTAATGTTGGACATAACATGCCGCATTTAGAAATGGACTTGAAAAACATCTCTAATCATCCAGGATGTTGAAGTGATACAAACATCAAAGTATCCACGATACAGACTATAAGGGACTTCCCTTTTAGAGAGTTCACTTTAATTGATTTATTAAAAGCCATAAATATAAAAAGCTGTTAAAGATGGCAGACGGTTAAACATCTCGTCGTTAAGGAAGTTGGTGACTGATAATTATTAATTAACTGATCAGTTTTAATTAATTTGTCAAGTTTCATCTGGGAGGATATTCATCATTTTGTAAGAAAACACGATGAGAAGCTGAGATCTGAATGTCCAGGAAGACCTCTTTCGTCACTTTTGACAGATTTTTTGTGACAATTTCTGCACATTTTTGGAAATATTTTTGTTTATTTATTTGTGTGTTGTTATTTTGATCAAATTGGACCAGTTTTTTTGAATTTTGTATTTTTATGAAATACATTCCAATTGGATTTAGTCATCATGAAAAATATTTGGTCTTGCCTTTTTTCTGGGTGACCATTCAAGATGGCTGAAATGTGTTTTGGATTTGAGAATATTGAATGCTGTCTTTGTGTGTTTTAATTGTTTTTGGATTAGAAAATTAATTTGTGGAAGTTGGGAATTTAAAACTTAAAGGATTATAATTTTTAGAAATTTTGGATTCTTATTGTGCTTTAGATGGTGACGTTTTGGTGAGATTTTCAAAATGGATGAACTCCATATAAGGATATATGAATTGTGAGCAACATATACAAAGCTTTCGAATTAGTCCAGGTTGCGATTTCCATCTTATGTGAGTTATTATGAAAATGATGATTTATAGGTGTAAAAAAGGGAAGAATATTTGAAATAATAAGACAAATGTAATCTATGATGTCAACTATGTTATTTTAAGGAAATAAGGAATGAGAGAGATTTTTCGAGGGTCCCAAAGGATAAGAGATCGGTTTTCAAATTGGATAATTTTTAATTGACTTACAAAATAAGGATAATAAAAAGTGTTTTGTGAAGATTAACAATGGATTATTTAAACTGTCTAAATGGAGAAGAAAGTTCTCGCTATCGTTCTATATCTAAAATGTGTTATCTCCCCTATTTTATTCGAGTTATCGACGGAGTAAGTAAGCATAATCATAGAAATTTCACTTTCTATTCTGAAATATGTCTTTTTCTATGTAGGTCTCAAAAAAAGACAATTCATCATTTTAAATTCGGAACTTAAATAATTCTGAATACCCATGAATTGATGACTCAAACTATGACGATGACCTTTGAACCCTTTAAAGGAATACTGTTGTCAAAGTCTTCATTGCTGCATGCATATCCCATAATCAGTTTTGATCATGACATAATAAGGCTAATTTGTGGTCGTAATATCTTAACAAAATCATCAAAAATTTGAAAAAAAATTACATTTTTGGTTAAGATGCAAAACAAAACTATGTTCTCTGTATACACTAGCTTAAAATACTACTTCTATCACAAAAACGCTGTACATCAACATGATAGCAATGCTTCATGAAAACACATTGTGATACATATTGGAATTCTGTTTCACTATACAATATCACTATTCAACACCTTGATATTATTTGTTTGTAATTTGTAATTCACAAGCATGTCCAACTCAGAAGAAATCTGTCCTAAATCATGATCAGGTTCTGTCTACTGGGTAACTGAAAATTGAAGTTCCCTATTTTATAAGGAAACTGAAGAGTATTTGTTCAAATAAAATATTTATAATTTATTCACAATGCAATAGAAAAAAAGGTAAAATAATATAAATATTTGGTTGTTTTTCTCTTCATTCCTTCCTTCAAATTTCTTCAAAATATGCCAAAAAATTTCAACCATTTCCAAACTTATATGCATTAAATTTTTTTAATAGGATTTGCATATATATGAAATTTATTGTGTGTTATTTTGTGTGTTATTATACTGTGTCATTTTTTGTGTTATTTTGAGAATTTTGAGTGTTATTTTGTGTTATTTTGTATGTTATTTTGTGTGTTATTTTGTATGTTATTTTGTGTGTTATTTTGTGTGTTATTATACTGTGTTATTTTGTGTGTTATTTTGTGTGTTATTTATACTGTGTTATTTTGTTATTTCAGTCACCAAAGAATGAAAAATGTGGATATTTATACAAACAAGGAGGGTAAGTAGATTTTTATATTAAATTCTTATTTTTTGTTTTTTCAATATTTTGCTCAGATATTGGAATTGGTTAAAAACTGAAAGTGGAAATTTAGAGAACAATTTGGCAAGTATTTCTGTCTTGGTTGTTACAACAGATGCTGAATTGTGTGTTCTTAAAACGGCCAGAAATTGTAAACCTACAAATTTCAGGAGGCATATAACCTCTGTCAGAAATTACATATTATACATTTTAAATGTTTTAAAGTTAAAAATGATTTATTGAAATATCGTAATATTTATATTAAATTATTTTCAGAGTAAATGCTAATAAAGGATGGAGAAAACGTTGGGTTGTTTTTAACGGAACAGATCTTAGATACTACGTCAATAATAAGGTACGTTATTTATTTATTTATTTATTTATTTATTTATTTATACCTATCTATCTATCTATCTATCTATCTATCTATCTATCTATCTATCTATCTATCTATCTATCTATCTATCTATCTATCTATCTATCTATTTATTCATTCATTCTAAAGTCAATATTTATTTTTTTCTTCAGTCAATATTTATTTATTTATATTTTTTTCTTCATTTCATTATTCATTTATTGTAGAGTTGCTCTTTATTTACTTATTAATTCATTTGTTTATTTGTTTTTTCTAGAGTCAAGTATCTAAGAGGATTATACCATTAACTTGTATTAGTGATGTTGTCAATGATGTTAAGGTAAGATAACTGCTGATTAAGATGTTTAAAACTGATAATTCCATATTCTATCATGGGTAGCTAGGATGGCACAGTGGAGATCTAGGGTTTACTCCTGGCACAGGTGTACAATACCTTCTGGTTTCCTGCTGTTGGTGTGGGAGTTGTTGGGACTCAATGAGTTAGAAGTTTGCCTGCTAACCTTAATATCCAGCATTCAATCTGGACACAGATCAGGATAAGGTCTTATTTACGAAAGCCCCTTGAACCAAGACCCCAATATTGCTGTCCTGGCAAAATTTCCATCATTGCACATGGCTATGAGGTTCTTCTGGTTGGCTTAATGTTATTGATGTAGACCTACTGTATGCATATGTTGCATAAATAAAGTAATATCTTCAATGCTTGTAATCTGTGAATTGTATAGCACTATGTTTTTGACGAGTCATTCATATAATTTATTGAAAATTTCAGACTGACGACACATCGCGCTTTAAATTTAAACTTGTTACCAGTATTAAAGATAGAGTCTTTCATTTCGCAGCAGATAAACTGGGTAAGTCATATATTATATATAATCACTTATATTATACTCTGTCGACCCTCAATTGAAATTCCATACTCAAGACAAATTCTTATAGTCATTTTTATTTAGTCAGATTTAAAGGGACATTCCCCATTTTTTGTAGGTCGAACATTTTTTTTACTTAAATTAGTGAAAACTATACACCAAAATCTAGAGAAATGTGCTCTTTAACTTATCTGAAAGTTTTAACTAAAACAATCCAGCTGTTAATTTTTAAACGCCAAAAATATTTAAAAACTTTACGTAAGGTTTTTAAGTTTGTTATGATTTTTGGACGCTGTTAGAAAACTACTGTACGGACTTAAATAAACTCATAATCTCCTACATATTCTGAAGAATTAAACTAATAATATCTAGCCAATATGAAGCCAAACACCAAAACTAGGTCAAACTGCTTAAATAACAATTAGTACTCTTCGTTTTTAATCAACCCTTTTAAAACAAATTCAGTTTGATCAAGAAAATACATAGATATAAATAACATACTTTAGAAATATTTTGGGGTAAAATTTACAACGCTTTTGATTAGAGAAACATTTAAAAAAAAAGTGGAATGTCCCTTTAAGTAAAAAGACTCATTGCTTTAGTGTCTAGTGAGAAATGCTATCATATTATGTGTGTTGAACATAATTCTAAGGTAAGCTGTAAACATTTAAATATTTTGGGAGACAAAAACCTAGTCTATTAGCTTATCATATATAAATTTTAGATTGATATTCCCTTTAAGATCAAAATTAATATCATCATTATATACTAGTGTAATGACTCATATAGATTTAAAGTGACTTGTTACTATTTGTTGTGACTGTAGTTTTTTCACCTATTTTAAGACAATGTTTATGAATTATGGTCTCATATATTAATGGATAAGGGGGCATGGTTTTAAAGAGATTGTAAAAAGGTATTCTAAATTCGGTTGTGTATCAGGGACACTGAAAGCATCAAATTGCACCATTCCAATTTTCAATCAGATGTCTGTGGTTCCTGCAATTCCACTATAACTAAGTGTTTTATGATGTTACTAATGCAAAAGCCCTTAGATATTTCTATTAGCTTTTGTGATAGTGATGTCATATAAACCTTACAATTTCTTAAGACGCATTAACAGCCCAACTGGTATATTTTAGAGAGATCAGATTGCGTAATATGAATTAGAGAACAAGCTTTATTATTTAATACTTGTTAAAGATGGCTTCCCTTATTTTTATTTATGAAAATGAAAATGCTAATACTTATATGAATAGAAAGTAGAGGTGTTCTAATGTCTTGGAAAAATAACAGTTTGTCTCACGTGTCCATAATTAATTCATAATTAGCTAAATTAGAAGAGAATTACCAGTAGAATTCCAATGAGTGACCGATCAAGAAAGGTCAAAATCTATTTTTGTTTATCCAGACTGTTCATTCATGGACATTAATTATATGCAATAAGAACATATTAATGATATGATTAAGAGTACATGATAATTCATTAGAAACACCAATTAATCAAATAATTTCTTTAGTTGACACTCAAAAATAAGGAAAACCATCTTTAATCTATACAAGTCCAAGGTGTTGAAATTTAACCCTGCGAAAGGGATGGAGATGGGATTATGAAGGATTATATATAACAAAAGAGATAGTAAGATTGTAGGGGTTAAAGGAAGCATGATAGGAAGTTTGTTGTCTTTGTTTTTAAAACATATATTTAATATTCAACTGACATCCATGAAGATTCAAAATAAAGAAGGCTGGCCATTTCAATTTTTCATCATGTTTAGTTGACTATACCAAAGTTATTTGTGAAGTAACTAACTTGAATGGCATTTAGTAATGTTGAGAATTAATAACAAGAGACAATTATATGGATAACAATTACTAGTACGTTATTACATTACTTGTTTCAAAAATAACACTCTCATCTTTATAAAGAAATTATATATTTATTAAGAAATAAACTGCAAAGCAGTCAATTTTTGTTTCTTTGTTATTTTTGTGTTCCTTTAATATTTTCTATAACTAGTGCTCTCTAATTTTAGAGGAGTGTTTACAATGGTCTCAAACTATCATGGCAGCTATATACCAGCGTAATGGTTCCGTAAGTGTTTTTTATTTTGATTATGTTTCTCAGCACTGTCTCTTTAAGCTATATTAATAATGTCACTATAAAGGAGTAGGAAGTGAGTATTTATAGTAGCTTGATATTTCCTTGATTGGTCAGTTAAAGATACACTCTCACTATTTTTTACACATAATTTTTACAGGATCGCATTTTGCAAATCGTTAAATATAAAAAAAATTATTATATAGAAATTTCCATGTATAGAGAAGAATATTCACTCCAAAATGTGGGTCATTTTTACGAGAAATTTCAGGGGTTAAGGTGTCTTTATTTAATTAACCACAGAATAAAGATGACAGAAGTTACTCAAGTTTTTTTGTTTTTTTTGCAGATTCCAGATAACAGCTGTATAGAACCTAAAAAATCTGACAAAGAGGTCAGTTTACATTTAAACCTAGTACCGTATAATTGCGAAGATAACGCGCCCCATTTTACCCTTATTATTCTATCTGGTTAATATACTTTATCATTGTGAAAATAGTATGCCTACATATATAATGAGTACCCTCTTCTTATCCTCAAGTCAATCTGAAAAATCTCATTCACTGTAAACAATACGCAGTTAGACTGTACGAAAAAAAAATCAATAAGTTGGCAAAATACAGACACCATAATATTGAGTGATAAACTAAGACTGCATGAAAAGTTTGTAACAGAAATTGATAAGTTTAAGCTAATGAAGTTTCCTGACAAAATTTTCCTCATTGTCCACATCTAACAGTTGCTTGTGTCTTTCTCTACTTCAGGGTTTTATAAAGTTTGAGAATGGTGGAGGAAAGAAATATTTTGTAGCTATCAGTGAGAGTCGACTGTGTTATTATCATAATAAAGACGTAAGAAGATATTAATTTCCCTCATTCCACACTGCATAGTGTTACCTATCTGCATGATATTTGCTTAGAAATTGAAAATTTATTATCTACTCTATATATTGGCAGCTGTGATGTAAATTACATTAATTTGCATCATTGAGCACTGTTTGATGTTGTCTATTTATATCTTTTGCTAAGAAATTGAAAATTTATTATCTACACTATATATATTGGCAGCATTGGTGTAAATTACATAGATTTGCCCCACTGAGCACTGTTTGATGTTGCCTATTTGAATCCTTTGCTGAGATATTGGATGTTTTATTTGTGTACTAGATATGAACATGTCATAGTTTCCCTCATTGCACACTGCTGCTTATCTACTAAATCCTTTGCCAAGATATTGGATTTTTGATTATGCACTAGATATGAACATTTCATAATTTCCCTGATTGAGCACTGCTGCTAATCTATTTAATCCTTGCCAAGATATCTGATTTTTAATTTGTACACTATATATGAATGCGTATTAAAACTATATTATGATAATGTCGGTTAGATGTGTTTTGAACAACATGTCAAAATCATATCAAATATTTAACCTGAATTTAATTTAGTATAATTTCACATGCCCTTGTAAAATATTCTAGGATTATATATTAAACTCTCCGATACATGAGATCATGATGAAACTAGCGTCTGTCAAGGATTCCTCCAATGGTAAAAACAAACTTCAACTTTCAACACATTATGGACACTTTATGTAAGTTTTCTTTCTTTACTGTCATAGATTAAGATTTAATAGTATTATTATTTTATAGTATTAGGATTTAGGACATGACCTTTTAGTTCGTGATTTGGTACGTCTTATTTCTTCCAGGGCAAGGTAAATGTGACAAAAAAAGAAGGAAACAGAATTTTTGTTTGATAGACGAAAAAAAACTTAGTTACTGCGCTACCTTCCAGTCACCCCCCCCCCCCTTTTTTTTTTAACACCATGAAAAACATACTAATATACTTCCTTGTCTAACAAAACGCATTAAACTAACATATAGGTTGAATGAATTATTATGTATTTTGTAGGTTAGGGTTTGATAATTCTACAGATTGTCAACAATGGAAGATGGCAATGGAAGATGCTATAGCTGAAGGGCTAGCAGACGACAGCGTACTAGAGAAAGTCTATGAAAACGAAAGTAATAAAATATGTGCTGATTGTGAAGCAACTGGTAAGTACCATCTTAGATCTTCTGAGCATTCTCGTGATATAGATTTTTTCTGATATCCTGAAAGACCACTGCCAAGGTGTTTGACCAAGTTGGAAAAATTCTTGACAAAAGTAAAGAGGTTTGGACAAGAAGAGACTGGAAGACAGGATACTGGAGAACTAAGTTGTAACTGTTGTAAAAATATTATAAGCATTTTGAATGGATGGTGCACAGGATCCTAAGTTGTTAACCTTGTCGATTAGGTTTGACCTTGAGAACGAATTTGTTATCTTCTTAAATTACCAAAAATCTTTTTTTCAGATCCACATTGGGCGTCAATAAATCTTGGTATTGTGGTTTGTAAAAAATGTGCTGGTATACATCGTATGTTTGAATATACTGTTTCTAAAATACGTTCATTACGGATGGATACCCGGGTCTGGACCCCCAGTCTTATAGAGGTAGGTCCCTGCCCTTTTTTCTAGAACCACAAACATTTGACTGAAAATTGGAATAGTGTAAATCGATGCTATCATTGTCCCTGATACACATAAAAAATTTCAAATGTCTCTTTACAATCTCTTTGAATTATATTTTTGTAAATTTTCTTTGTATTGCATGATTATTTCAGTTAATGAAAGCTATTGGAAATGCCAACGCCAATAATTTCTGGGAGCATGAATTAATAGCAGAACTTAAAATAGAACCAGATTCAACATCTGAGAAACGGAAAGAGTTTATACAGAATAAATATAAATATAAACGATATTGTCGTCTGCATCCAGCGTACGCTGATAGTCATATACTGAATCAGGTTGGTTTAACATTGACTTACAAAATGATTTGTTTCGACATTTAGAAAACAAAAGCAAATAGGCTAGTAATGCTGTTCTCACAAAATTTCCCCATTGCCCACCGCAATGCATGAAATTAGGATGAAGACTGTGTTTCATTTATTTCTATGTCTAGTTCTTGAAACCATGGAATTACAGAATTATACATTTCAAAATGTTTTTTTTTTAGGAACTTTTAAAGTCTGCAGTATCAGATAATGTTTTGGAAACCATGGCAATAGTTTTCTCAGGGGCTGATGTAAGCAGAAGTTAATTATTTTTTTCAAATTAAAAACCCAATTTGCGATATAATTTTGTGTCAATATTTGTTGGGAAACTTTCTTTAGTTATTGTGTTTTTAAATGAAATTGGCTGATGTGTTGGATTGTTTTTTTAGTTTGAAAAATAAGGTCATTCTTCTCTTTATACACAAGAGTATCCCTTAATTTGTCTCAAACCAAAAGAATTGTGTCTTTGATAAAAATAAAACATTAAATGATATTTCATATTTTCAGGTATTATATGCTTATGGACACGATGAGACAGGTAGGTTCGAATTTGAGGAGAATTCATCAAATAATCTTCAAGTTATTTCCCCTGACTACATCAGATTGTTAACATCATAGACATAGAGTGAGATATGGGTAAGGAGTAACTGTGTGAAGCGAATATAATAATTTATTTGGTTTGTTGTTTGTTTCAGCGTATCAACTAGCTAAGAAAGCAGGTGAAAGGCTACAAGTGGAGTTTCTCTATCAGAATTGTGGCGATGGTAAGTGATGTTTGATTTACTTTCGAACCTCAACAACAGAAGATTCTTTTAAATCTCTGAGTATTCATTGTTCGCAGTTTAGAGATTTTTTTCTTCATATATTTTAGAAAAAGATATGTTTCCATATACAGATTAAATTATTTGTGGGTTTTTTTGTTTTTTTTTTTTGGAAAACTTGATTTGTTTTTGATTTGATGATGTAAGTTTATCAAATTATTTATTTTTTCAGAATCTACGTTGGCCTCAGAATACAATGATGATGTAAGTTAAGACTATTTTTAGTATTTGTATAGAAAGGGATACAGTTATATAAATACTTACTTTATCAGCTGATTTTGACTCTTATGCGTAGCTATCACTGATATTAAGATATCATTTGTAAAAACTGCTTGTGTGATTGTTAAGTTACGATAGTTTAAACTTCCACTGCACATTTCTGTTGAACTACAGGAATAACAATTCTTATTAACAATTTTAATTCTGAAAAGGGATCTGGATAGCTTATTATTATTATGATATCTGTGTTATTTTCAGGGGAGATTAAGAGAAGATGTCAGACATCAAGGGTTTTTATTAAAAACTGGACCCAATTTTAAAGGTAAGACATCTGACAAACCTTGGATAGAGGTAATCTGACAGAAACAAAAAATACACAAAGATCCGTATTTAAAAAGGATACTAACATTGATCATGTTTACCATCTGGTCCTTAATCTATGACAATAGCTTTACAAGAACTTGTGTTCTCAAGGATCATGTTTACCATCTGGTCCTTAATCTAGGACAATAGTTTTACAAGAACTTGGGTTCACAAGGAGCCTGTTTACCATCTGGTCCTTAATCTATGACAATAGTTTTACAAGAACTTGTGTTCTCAAGGATCATGTTTACCATCTGGTCCTTAATCTATGACAATAGTTTTACAAGAACTTGTGTTCTCAAAGATCATGTTTACCATCTGGTCCTTAATCTATGACAATAGTTTTACAAGAACTTGTGTTCTCAAGGATCATGTTTACCATCTGGTCCTTAATCTATGACAATAGTTTTACAAGAACTTGTGTTCTCAAGGATCATATTTACCATCTGGTCCTTAATTTATGACAATAGTTTTACAAGAACTTGTGTTCTCAAGGAGCCTGTTTACCATCTGGTCCTTAATCTATGACAATAGTTTTACAAGAACTTGTGTTCTCAAGGATCATGTTTACCATCTGGTCCTTAATCTATGACAATAGTTTTACAAGAACTTGTGTTCTCAAGGAGCCTGTTTACCATCTGGTCCTTAATCTATGACAATAGTTTTACAAGAACTTGTGTTCTCAAGGATCATGTTTACCATCTGGTATTTAATCTATGACAATAGTTTTACAAGAACTTGTGTTCTCAAGGATCATGTTTACCATCTGGTCCTTAATCTATGACAATAGTTTTACAAGAACTTGTGTTCTCAAGGATCATGTTTACCATCTGGTCCTTAATTTATGACAATAGTTTTACAAGAACTTGTGTTCTCAAGGAGCCTGTTTACCATCTGGTCCTTAATCTATGACAATAGTTTTACAAGAACTTGTGTTCTCAAGGATCATGTTTACCATCTGGTCCTTAATCTATGACAATAGTTTTACAAGAACTTGTGTTCTCAAGGAGCCTGTTTACCATCTGGTCCTTAATCTATGACAATAGTTTTACAAGAACTTGGGTTCACAAGGATCCTGTTTACCATCTGGTCCTTAATCTATGACAATAGTTTTACAAGAACTTGTGTTCTCAAGGATCCTGTTTACCATCTGGTCCTTAATCTATGACAATAGTTTTACAAGAACTTGTGTTCTCAAGGAGCCTGTTTACCATCTGGTCCTTAATCTATGACAATAGTTTTACAAGATCTTGTGTTCTCAAGGATCATGTTTACCATCTGGTCCTTAATCTATGACAATAGTTTTACAAGAACTTGTGTTCTCAAGGAGCCTGTTTACCATCTGGTCCTTAACCTATGACAATAGTTTTACAAGAACTTGGGTTCACAAGGATCCTGTTTACCATCTGGTCCTTAACCTATAACAATAGTTTTGCAAGAACTTGGGTTCTCAAGGAGCCTGTTTACCATCTGGTCCTTAATCTATGACAATAGTTTTACAAGAACTTGTGTTCTCAAGGATCATGTTTACCATCTGGTCCTTAATCTATGACAATAGTTTTACAAGAACTTGTGTTCTCAAGGAGCCTGTTTACCATCTGGTCCTTAACCTATGACAATAGTTTTACAAGAACTTGGGTTCACAAGGATCCTGTTTACCATCTGGTCCTTAACCTATAACAATAGTTTTACAAGAACTTGGGTTCACAAGGATCCTATTTATCATCTGGTCCTTTGCTAATTTTTATATATGTATAAATCCATTTCCTCTTCCTTCAACAAAAAAAGGGTCATGTCAAAATTTTATTAATTGCCGACTGCTTTGCTCATTCAGTGCTTGTCTTTATTAGTCTTATAAGGAGCAGAAAGTTTGGACATTTGTTGTTTTAATATATTATAAAATTCCTCAATAAAATTCTTCCCAAAATTCACAAAATGACTAATTTTTTTGGGGAAATTTCAGGTTTTGACAAGCGTTGGTGTATTCTAGAACATGGAACTTTGACGTATTATGATTCAGAAAAGGTGAGGATAATTTTAAATTCTGTTGTACAGCTTAGATTGTTACTGGTGTTTGGCTTTCTGTGTTGGGTAGAATTCTAATAGATTAACTAGCGATCTTCATCAAAAATCTTTAAAAATTTGTTTTCGTTTTGATTCACAAGTCTGTATATTTTTGTTAAAAAAATAACTTTCTTTTAAAGAATTTTGAGTTTTTATAGTCACAATTTTTGAGGATCCAAGAATTATAAATAGTATAGCATTAAATTTATTAATTTGTTTTAAAACTTTATATGATGGCTTCGTAAATAATGTGGTTGCACTAAAGCATTTGTATTTGCATTTGTATTTGCTTTAATTTACAATTGTAGTCAAAAGCTATTAGAAATTTCTTATTTTTTTCAATCAATTCATTTCTACATTTTTTCATTAAATTTTAAATTTTTTGTTTTGTAATTCATAATTTTTCATTTCAAACCCGCCCACTCCTAGCACCAATATTTTCATTTCTATTTTTAAAGTTATTTTATTTTTT